TGAAAATTCAAATAGAAAAACTGCTTGTTGACGGATGAGGAGACCCAGCGTACTTGGTCTCCAGCAGCCTCATGCCCTCCAGGATCACCTCTCAGTTCCCCAGAGCCCTTACCTGCTCTTGGCTCCCTTACATGCTCTTTCTTTGGATAGGAAGAGGAATTTAGGTGTCTGGTTAAATGGCTTTGTGCTCACAGAAATAAAAACAAACAAGAGATTGAGACCAGAAGACACTGACATCTATACCACTCAATTTTGCTATTCAGACTGAACATGTGAGGCTGGAGAGATTGCTCAGTAGTTAAGAGCACTGGCTGCTCTTCCAGAGTACCTGGGTTCAATTCCCCAGCACCCACATGGCTTCTCACAACTGTTTGTAACTCCAATTCTGGGGGATCCGATGCCCTCTCTGGCCTCCGTAGGTACTACACCTATGTGGCACATAGGCAAAACATCCATACATAAAAATAAAGAATTTTTTTAAAGGGAGGGATGTTTATTTTTTTAAATGATTGGATGGAAGACTGGCTAGCATCATATTAAAAAGCAAAAGAATCAGTTACTGAATGGCAAGAAGTGGAGAGATGAATCAAATTGAGCAAACTTTACAGGGTTAGACACCTCAATCCAGGCACAATTGCCTATGCTATTTCATTCAGTAACTGGGGGAAAATCGTGGGCTGGGGAGATGATTCACTGGGTAAGGCACTTGTTACTCAGCTTGAAAACCTGAGTCTTCTGGTTAAACTTTTATCAACTGGACCCACCGTTGCCACCTGGGAAGAAGAAACCTGGATTGAGGAATTGCTTCCATCAGATTGACTTGTGTGCATGTCTGTGGGACATTTTCTTGATTAACGATTGATGCATGAGATCCCAGTCCGCTATGGGTGGTGCTACCCCTGGACAGGTGGTCTTGAGTTGTACACAAAGCAAACAAAACATGTCAGTAAGCAGCATCCCCCATGGCCTCTGTTTCAGCTCCAGCCTCCAGGTTCCTCCGCTGGTTTCCCCGGATGACGGACTGTGTAGTGAAAATATAAGCTAAATAAACCCTTTCCTTCCTCAAGTTGCTTTTGGTCATGCGGTTTACCACAGCAACAGAAAACTAACTAGAACACCCAAGGACCTTCATAGTAGTACAAAACCAACTGCTACAAACTGTCCTCCAACCCTACAGACACACCATAAACTTTAAAAAAATGAAACCCCATAAGTCTCCATTTTTATAGAAGAAAGCTTCAATGTAGCACGGCTTGACATATGATTTTTTTTTCTGTTTCTTGCTAATGTGAAAGCCATATGCATTTGCTAGAAGTTGTACTGTGAGTTCTGAAATTTGCTATCATCCCAGGCTAGTGACAGGTGATAATATCCTGTATCTCAGAGCTGAGCAATGACATGTCACCACTCCCAGGCAGCCACATAATAACACCAACTAGGGAACACCCAATGCTGTATAGTGTGGTGTCGGTAAGTTGGGATGTTAGCTGTGTTCAATGCATTTTGCACTCAGGATAATTTCACTTCATGATCACTGCAACCTTTCTAAGATAAGAATACTTATGTGAGGAGGCTGGAGAGATGGCTCAGAGGTTAAGAGCACTGGCTGCTTTTCCAGTCCTGAGTTCAATTCCCAGCAACCACATGGTGGCTCACAACCATCTATAATGAAACCTGGTGCCCTCTTATGGCCTGCAGGTATACATGCAGAAAGAGCACTATATACATAATAAGAACTTTTTTTAAATAGTATTTATGTGGGAAAACTACCCCAAAGCATCCACATAAACTTTTTGGCATGAAAACAGAAGAGGCAAGGTCAGGGCTCGAACACAGCCACTTAACTTCAAAGCCGTCTTCTTACACTGTATACCACAAGTTGCTGAACTATAGCCAACCCTCTGTAGAAGAATGCTATGCAGGAGCCAACAAGCAGGCTTTACCTGTGGTCTCCTGGGGTGCTGTTTTGGTTTTAGGCAGTATTAGTGTTTGAGAGCTGTGGACCTACCTCAATTTTGAATCTCTGTGCCTGTATAAAAAGGAAGGTTTGTGGAGAGCTGTGGCTGGGAGAAGTGTTGTGGGTTTGCCCTTTCTCCTCGGTTTGAGCTGCTGCGCCCAGAATGGAAGCCAAACAGAAGGGATCAAGTTCAAAGCTGCACATGCCTGTGCTTCTGCAGAGTGTTCTCCGAGGACCAAGTGTACCACCCATTCTCAAGCTTCTTCCCCAGTTAGCCTCAGACCCAGAACAAGAGATGCAAAATCACTACCCGCCCATGTGATTCTGTATCGTGAAGGCCGTTATCCAACACACACACTGTTCAAGGAAGTAGAAAGGCACTCCTTAGCCCAAGAAAGAATTTAACTTCATTAGCCACGAATGAAACCCCTTCCTCTATGAATACTTCAGCTACGGAAAGTCCCAAACTCTGCTATGTCCCAGATAGGATGCTGCCTTCGACATGTATTGACATAATCCTGTGTCATTAACAGATGTTTTCTGTGGCCCCTGAAGAACAGAGAGAGACATTTGGTGACTCTTCTCCATGGTGAACCAGAGTAGATGGTAAATGGAATAAACTTATGTCAAGCATGTCATGCTTGGAGAGTTTGGGGAATCATTTTAAAATGTATCCCTACTTGAGAATGAATCGGAAATCAGAGTGTCTGGCTGATATAGTGGATTTATCCCAGCACTCCCGGGGTTGAGGCTGATGTACCCTTCATGTTCTCTTTTACATTTTTAATTGTTTAAAGATTTTATTTTATGTGTATGAGCTCTTTGCTTCCAAGTATATCTGTGCATCTCATGCATGCCTGATGCTCACAGAGGCCAGAAGGATCCCCTGGAACTGGAGTTACAGATGGTTGTGAGCTACCATGTGGGTGCTGTGAATTGAACCTGGGTCTTCTGGAAGAACAGCATATGCTCTTAACCGCTGAACCATCTCTCAAGACTAATTTCCTCTTAATTTTTTAATAACTCACTGAGTCCAACTAGTGCTGTTCATACACACATACACACATGGGTGTGTGGTCATCCTGGAGACGTAGATGACCTATTAATGACCACACGCTGAAAAAAAATTGACTCTCCCAACAGACATCACCTCCCAGCAGCTCCTCAGATAGGGGTGGGCCTTGGTGAACTTCTCCCCCACTGGTGCTGGAATGCTGATTGGCTGGATCTCCTGCAGGGAACCTACAGCTGTTGTCAAGTCCAGAAGACATCCACAGCACTCTTTCCCATGTTCCAGCCCTGACTTCTTTTCTGCTCCTTTTGGCAATGTCCCTGAGCCTTGGCGGCCTTGGTGCAGATGTCCCGTTTGGAGGGCAGCACTCAGCAATCTCTTATTTGCAGCTCTCTGACCATTTACGAATCTCTGCACTAACGGCCGCCCACTACCAGAAGAATGTTGTCTGACCAAGGCCAGCAGCAGCACTCCTCTATCAGTATAAACATTAATATATAGAAGACAGCTCCACAACATAAACATTTACCAAAGCATTAGTAGTAGGTTTCCCCCTAGAACCTAGGACATCCCTAGCTATAGACTTTTGGCTAGGTTTACAGTATCAGGCAGTGAATTCCCTCCTGTGGAGCAGGCCTCTCATCCAATCAGAAAGTGGTTGATTACTCCCATAAGGATCATGTAACTACTGGACCATGGGTTCAGTGCATCTCAGTGCATGGTCCATTGGTGAGTAAGATCACTGATGTTTCCTTCCTCCATGGTCTACACAACACCTGGCACTATGAAAGCTAGCCAACAAGGAGGGAGATTTCAAGCAGTTACAGGCTGGTTTCTCCATGTTTATCAAAGTGTATGGCGTCCTCAGCCACAAGTCTTGAGTTACACCTTGTCTCAAACAAGCAAAGAAGTCAGTGACCCAGGAGCTGAGTCATATGTAGCTCAATAGAGCACTTGCCTGGTGTGAACAAGATCCAAGTTCAATCCCCAGCCCTTCTAACGGTGGGGTAGGGTGGGGTGAGACTGACTTAAAGAAGACCTACCCTGCCCATGATTGGCCAAGTGAGGAGAAAGACACAGAAAATGAGGAAAGGTCTGTGGTAGTCAAGGAGAGGTGACTAGAATTTGGGTTCCCAGCTGACCTCCAGGAACCACAAATCAAGTTTGAGAAAAACAAAGGATTTCTTTGTTGTTGTTTCCTTTTTTTTTCTTTGAGACAGGGTTTCTCTGTGTAGCTTTGGAGGCTGTCCTGGAACTAGCTCCTGTAGACCAGGCTGGTCTTGAACTCTCAGAGATCCACCTGCCTCTGCCTCCTGAGTGCTGAGACTAAAGGCATGCACCACCACTGCCAAGCTTAAAACATGAAGGTTTTTTAAGGTCAACCTTTTGTATTTAGTTTTTATTTTTTAACATTTATTTTTATCTTATGTGCCTGGGTGTTTTGCCTGTATCTTTGTCCATGCACCATGTGCATATAAAGACCAAAGAGACCAGAAGAAGGTGTCAGATCCCCTGGGTCTGGAGTTACCGACAGTGATGTGATGCCATGTGGATTCTGGGACTCAAACCTGGGTCCTCTGCAAGAGCAGTCAGTTCTCTAAACCGCTGAGCCATCTCTCCTCCACCTCTATCACTACCCCCAATTTAAAATAAAAAAAAAATAAGATCAACCCTTTTAAATCTCGTGATAGCAACCAAAAGTACAGGATCTGCATATTTCAGACCAAGAGTTCAGTCATTGTCTGTTTGCTCTGGCAGGCCTGTTCAATGCTGTTGAAAAGACATGCCCAAACTCCATAGGCCTAGCCTGCAGCCACTAATGCAGATCCCCAAGGTGAGGAAAACTACTGAGTTAAATCCCAGGCTTGTTTTCATACCCCACTTCCAACGTGTCACCTCATAACCTTCCCCAGAACCACATGTCCCCATGTGTTGAGTCCCTTGTGGCTCTCCTCTAGGGATACTTTCTCAGGAGTTCCATACTTCAAATCCCCCACCTCACCCTTCACCCAGGACATAAAAAAGGATGACTCCCACAAGCCACATTTATTTGGGGATAATTCATCAAAAGAATTATTTTTGTTGGATTGTATCTTTCTGAGTCTCTTAGTAGCTCATTCACAGAAAACACTGTTCACATTAAAGATCTGAACCAAGGGACTGCTTGAGACCACAGGTGGGCCAGCCAGCCTCTTCACCCTACCAGCCAGCACACTGCTTCTGGGAGACACCCAGAGTCTCCCTTCCCTCATCAGTGCCTGTGTATATGGAGCAGGTCTGTCTTCCTGCCAGACTCCAAGCCCTCCATCTTCAGGCTTCTAATGGAGGCAGAGACCAGCCGAGGATGCAGAAGTCTAAAATAGCTGGCATGGTGGCTCAGGGGCCACCAAAAACAGAGTCTTTGCTGCTGCCGAGATGAAATGCCCTCTTTCTTCTCAGAAAGTTTCTGCTTTGGGAATCTCCCAAGCTGACTGTTTTTTTTTTTTTTTTGGTTTGTTTTTTAAACTGGATTACTTGGATCTGACTGAAGAGAGGGCCAGATTGGGTGCTCTGGAGGAAGAGGGCCAAACTGGGTGCTGGGATGGGAGAGAAGAAGAAACAAACACACGTGTAAGTGGTTAGGGAAGCTCAGAAGTGAAGTGTCTGACCAGCAAAGTCCTGGGTTCAATCCCCATCACAGAAAAAAGAGTAAGTCAAAAAACAGCAGTAGCAGCCACGCATTGAAATGTTCCTCATATGTTTGGCACAATACTAAATTCTATATGCATTGCCTCATTTGGTCCTCACCCTCAATGGGGCAAATGTTCCTTTTCTCTTTTTTTGAAACAGGGTCTCAAGTGACCCAGGCTGGCCTCAAACTTACTATATAGCAGAGAATGACCTTGAACTCTAAGATAAGAAAACAAGCTCATAGACGCTGTTGCCTGCCTCTAAGTATCATCTGCGAAGTTATGGAAGCAGGGTATGGATCCAGACATCTAATGCCCAAGTCTGAGACCTGAACCACCATGTGGAGATCCTGAGAAATGCGTTGTCGGTGGGAGACTGGGTACAGGAATCCTGCAGATATCAAGACCCATGGATGTTCAAGGCCCTAGAAGTGGCTTGACACTTGTATATAACCTACATATCATACATGCTCTTTGTACTTAAAATCGCCTCCCCACTTCCTTTGATACAATGTAAACACTATGTGATTAGGTGTTCTGATGTGATACCTACGGAATAATAAGAAAATGTCTGCACATGCTCATTGCAGACATTTCCCAAATATTTTCTACTTGTGGTTAGCTTAACCCATGGATTCTGGAAACAAAGACACAAGTCTACATTAAAGCAATTTAATCAAGTCAACAGCAATAAGATGACAGGCTCTTTATTGTCATTTTCTATCAAAGAACACCTCTGCTGCTAAGATTTCAAACAAGGGCCTGCAACCCAGAGTTGGCCACAAGGGTGTGTGTGTGTGTGTGTGTGTGTGTGTGTGTGTGTGTGTGTGTGTGTGTGTGTGTACATCATTATATGCATAGGGACCAGAAAAAGATACTGGATTATCCCTTGGAGCTGGATGTGCCTGTTACATGGCACTAGGATTGAACTGTGGTCCTCACAATTGCAGAGTTAGCACTCCTAACTGCTTAGCCACCTGCCAGCCTCCTACAGGTTTATTTATTTTGGCACACATATTGCTTCATCTATCTATCTATCTATCTATCTATCTATCTATCTATCTATCTATCTATTTATCTTGAGACAGGGTTTCTCTGTGTAGCCCTGGCTGGCCTGGAACTCACTCTGAGACCAGGCTGGCCTGGAACCCAGAGATCCACTTGCCTCTGCCTCCCAAATACTAGGACTAAAGGTAGATGCCACCATGCCTAGCATGTGGTTTTTTTTTAAGATTTTCTTTTTTTAAAAGTATGTATATATGGGGGAGGTCTGCATATGAGTATAGGTGCCCACAGAGGCCAGAGCTCTGTTGCTCCAACCTATCTCCATTTCAAGACATCCTACAGTGTTTGTAGGTGACTCTCCTACCATAGCCATGTCAGCAGGATGAGGCCTGGCCTGATGCTGGAGTGTCACATGGTAATAATGGAAAGAGGACGTAAAAGAAAATGAGTCTATTCACCCACAACTTCAGAAGGGCTAATGTTTTACTTGGTGGAATGGGGCCAGATCTCTGATCTCACACTGCCTAGGCAGAGCTTTCTCCACTCCTATCAGCTGGGAGTCATGTGTCTCTGTGCAGGGTGACAGGGCCAACAGCCCATCATTCCACACACTCTGGAGGCCTGCCTTCCTGAACCCAACACAACACAGCTCCGTCACAGGGCAGGGACCATTAATCAGTCTACAAAATAATGTGTTGCCACTGTCAGCCAATTCCTTTCTTCCTACCCCTACTCCTTGCACAGCCATTTCCAGGTGCCTTCTTCCCTGAGTTGCCGGCAGCCCGCATGTCAGTTAGGCCATGAGAAGGTAATAACCAAGTTCAGAATAAACAAAGCCAATGGCCAAAAGGACCCTATTTTACCTTTTTAAAAACTCTGAGTGAGCCGGGCGGTGGTGGCGCACGCCTTTAATCCCAGCACTCGGGAGGCAGAGGCAGGCGGATCTCTGTGAGTTCGAGGCCGGGCTGGACCGATAGCCTCCAAAACAATACAGAGAAACCCTGCCTCGTAAAAACAAAAAACAAAAACTCTGAGTGTATATGACGTGTGGGCATGTATGCACGTATGCGTGTGCAGTTGTGTGCACCTGCAGAAGCCTCATTTGAGGCAGGGTCTCTTTCTTGTTTGCTGTCACCTACACCGGACTGTTTCCACCGCTCATCTTACCATATGCACTGGGATTATAGATGGGTGTGCTAGGAGCTTTTTATGTGCACATTCAAACTCAGCTCCTCATGCCTGCGCAGCAAGCACTTTACCAAGCCATTTCCCTAGCCCCACAGCTTGTTTGGAGACAGGGTCCTTAAACTGGGTATGCAGCTGAGAATGACCCTGAACTTTGTTTGTTTGTTTGTTTGTTTGTTTGTTTTTGGAGACAGGGTTTCTCTGTGTAGCTCTGGAAGTCCTGGAACTCACTCTATAGACAAAGCTGGTCTCAAACTCAGAGATCCACCTGCCTCTGCCTCCAGACTGCTGGGATTAAAGGAGTGCGCCACCACCATCCAGCAACCCTGGATTGCTTTCTTTCTTTCTTTCTTTTTTTTTTTGGTTTTACGAGACAGGGTTTCTCTGTATTGTTTTGGAGGCTGTCGATGGATCTAGCCTGGCCTCGAACTCACAGAGATCCGCCTGCCTCTGCCTCCCGAGTGCTGGGATTAAAGGCGTGCGACACCACTGTCCAGCAACCCTGGATTTCTTAATCCCTTGTTCCTACCTCTTCAGTCCTGGGATTACAGGTATGTACTACTACAACCAACTTACATGGCACTGGGATTCAAGCCCAGGGAAACAATCGCTCTATACACCGAACAGCATCCCTAGCCCCTACTTCCACCTTTCATTCTCCTGCAAGCCTTGTCTGATTATCTAATGTGCTTTATTACATCTATCTGACCAGAGCTGGGCTAATGAGGGTAGGTCTCCCCACTACTTTCTCTGCTTGTACTCTTTATCACCGACTTTAATACTAAACAGAGTTTATTCTCTAGACTTCCTACTGCTTGGGAAAACAAAAACAAAAAATCTGTCCTCTGAAAACAAGCTCTTGGGGTGGCCTCACCACTCCTGGCTCCCAGAGCCTGGGCTATATCCTCCCCAACACCTGCTCCCTCTCCAGAAACCTGGCCCAGCTAACAGCCCAGAATAGTCCTCACCATGGTCATGTAGGTGGCCTCCGATTGTCCACTTGGTCCTTCCATCGACTCCCACGTAGTTATTGAGGAGTAGACATGTTTCTGGGGTGGGGGGAAAATACAAAGTTCTTAGGGGTCATGCAGGAAAGAGACCACCTACTCCTGTTCACAGGACATCGGGTACCAAAGCCACCGAGTTCAGAGGGTTACAGAGAGTCAGAGAATGGCTACACTGATCATTCCAGCGTCAGTCTTCCTGAATGAAGTCACAGGAAACAGCACCAGCCTCAAGAACCAAACTGCCTGCTTCAAAACCAAAGACCTTTGTGTCTCTAGGCATTGACTTGGAAGTGGGGGACCCTCATCCTGAAGAATAACCTGTAGGCTGTGGCCAGTTCTTTCTGATAAGTCACGGCAAGTTGGCACTAATTATCAGCTAACTGCTGTCATCTGGCAGAGGGTTGATGTGCCAAGGGCAGCCCTCCCTGAACCCCACAGCTCTGAGATCTGAGGACTGTGATCCACTGTTGTGTCACTCTTAGGAAAGTGGCACATCCTCAGGCTTCTAAGGATTGAACCAGCTTGAACAAAAATCCTCCTCTTGGGACAAAAGCAGCCCAAAACTCGGGAAGTCTATCATAGAGAAGTCTAAAAGCTAAAAGGGGGAAGGGAGGAGATACAGGAGGAAAGGAAGGACGAGAATATAGGAGCTCAGGGAAATTAATCTCTCAGCTCCTGTTCATAACTCTGCTTCTAAGCCCTATGGGGAGCACGGGGAGTCCTTCTTGGTCTCCTCTAAAGGTTCCTGAATGAGCCTCTTCGAAATCACCAACTCCTTAGCTCTTGAAGGGAGGAGAGCTTTCTGATTACAGATTCAGGACGCTTTCCTATACCTGACCCCAGGATCTGCTGCCCAGTGCTGATCTGGTCCAAGCTACCCTGTTCCAGCCCATTCCTCTGCAGCAGTGATAGAGGCTTCCTGCGTCACTACTGTGCACAGTCATGACCTGTGAGCTGAGAGCTGAGACTAATGAGTAAGATATGGTTCCCAAGTGATGGCCTCCACCCTCCACCCCCCAGTGTTTCCTACTGGGGTGTGCATCTCAGGTGGCAGGGGGTCCTCTCACCTCTGGATTAGTTTTCTCTTTGTTCTCCAGGCTCTTCAGGGAAGCTGTAGAACTCACTGAACTGTAAAGGCATGAAAAGCACATGGAATGAACACTGAACCTCACAAGGCACACTGATTCAAGTGTGCTTAGAAAGGATCCAATACTTACTGGGTGTTTTGCAACCAGTGGGACACCCATGTCACATAGGATCTTTACATCACTCTATGGAGAGACCCTTGGGCAGAACTAAATGCACACAGAACAGCTCTTCTGGCTGGGGACAGTTTAGGCTGAAACATGGCTTCACATTCTCTGTTTCCATTCTAACCACTTCTGTCCCAGAGTGGGAGGGAGGTAAAGCATAACTGGGCACAGTGGCATCTTGAAGTCCCAGCTACTCCTGAAGCATGGAGCCAGGAGTTCAAAACCAGCATGTAGAGACTCATTTTAAGTTTATCATCATCATCAATGTGTGTGTGTGTGTGTGTGTGTGTGTGTGTGTGTGCCACTCAAGTTACAACATATGAGTAGAGGTCAGGGAACAACTTTTAATAATCTGCTCTCTCTCTCTCTCTCTCTCTCTCTCTCTCTCTCTCTCTCTCTCTCTCTCTCTCTCTCTCTCTCTCTGTTTCTGCTCCCTCTGCCTGTGCCAGGCGAGCTGACTGGCTAGCTTCCAGGTGATTCTCCTGTCTCCACATCTCTTCCCACCATAGGAGAGCTGAGATCACAAAGCCATAGTATGTGACTTTTCATATGAGTTCTGGGAACTGACCTCAAGGCATCTCACTGGCCCAAGAGACCTCATTTTAACAGGAAGGGAGGGAAGGGGAGGGCAGTTCAGGGGAGGGTAAAATGTGAACAGAGGAGAAAATGTAACTTAAACGACTAATAGAGTGAGTCCATCACATCTGACTTCACTGTCTTGTCTTCAGTACTGAGAACAATGAGCAGCACACGTCTAGCAAGACCACATTTTCCCCAGGTCAGTGGCCTCCCCAGTGACAGCCCCCGCCCCCCCAGGCTGTTTGCTCTGACCCCTCCCTGATCAAGCCCTGTGACTTTGATCTCTGGGCCAGTTGCCTCATGCGTTTGTCATTAAATGTACCTTTTTTATTTTCCTGTTTTGATCTAAGGCAGATATATATATATATATGGTATAAGCATAAAAATAAATCATGTTTGTTTCAAATGGAAATGTTTTTAGCATGTAAACATTCTCTGTTCTTGCTGTTGAATGAATCAAATACTACAGAGTTAGACCATTGGAAGCTGAGGTTTCCAAGTGGTCCCCTTATCCAACAGGAGTCTTATCTTCAATGTTGGACAAGGCCTCAGCACTATCCTTGAGAACTCCTGTCAACAACGGGCTAAGTAAACTCCCAGACAAAGGGAGTTTGTGTACAGGCTCCTGACACCAACACGGTATTTCTTCCTTCCTATAAGATCACACTGCACATTCCCCTTACCACCTTCTTGGCTACCATCCTATGCTGTCACCTGCTGCAGGCTTGTATGTAATGGTATATCAGTGGAATGCCCTTTCATCCAACCATTGCCTTCCCGAGAAATGCCCTACTCACAATGACTGCAGATTCTTATTGGCAGCCAAGTTGCAGTGACTGTATTTATGTGGGAATCTTGGGATGGTGGTATTTCTTTAGAATGACTTTCCTTGACACGGAGACCCAGAGTATGGACATAAATTGGGAGTGGAACTTACACTGTCTGGCTCTTAGTCTTGCACTCAAATGCATGCCTGGTGCAATGACCCCTTAGAGGTGCCAAGTTCAACACCGAATCAGAGAGTTCTTGGAATAATGGTGCACCTGATCAGGCACAGTGGCTTTCTTTACAGTCTACATATCCCTGGGAAAAGTCACTCAGACATCAGCGTTGTGAGGCCAGAGGTGGTGTGACTTGGTGGTAGAAAGTGTGTCTAGAATGTGGAAGATCTGGGGTTCAATCCTCAGCACAGTCAAAGAGAAAAAAGTCAACATTCCTTGGTCTTTATGGGTCTTTCTCGTTGCTGTGACTTCATCTGGGGTGTTAGCTTAAACTGCGAATATGTTTCACTAATACTCTATAAACAGAGGAGCACAGAGCTGCTGATAGTGAAATACTAACATCTGTATCCTGGCATTCAGGCGTTTCTAAGAGTCTGGGAAAGTCAGTCATGAAATGCAGCCCTTGAAGACATTTCAATCCAGGCATAGTGGTACACACCTGTAATGCCAGCAAATGAGGGGCTGAGACAGGAGGACCATGAGTTCAAAGCCAGCCTGGGCTACATAGGGACTTCCTGTTTCACTCTCCTCCCCAGTTCATAACTTCTCTTAAGCAGTCCTCGGGTACTATTACAGCTCTTGCATGAGGTCTGTATCTGAATTGTGTTCCACTCAAACCCCCGTTTGTGAGGGAGCTGATAGTCTTTATATAACAGCAAGGAGAATGAGCATGGTGTAGTAATGTGCTAGCCTTTCTGCAGTGTGGTGAGCGAAGGGGGCAGAACCAATGTAACGTCACAGGGCACGGTGCTCTCTTCCACCCTGGATTAGACAAGATCAGGCCCAAATTAGGGTGGTACAGCTACTCTTCCACTTTCATTTAGAAGCCGACTACATGCTTGGCCTCGCAGCCGAAGGGGCGGGGATGGTCATGTACCTCTTATTCCACTGGGTTTTCTTCACAACGAGTATCAAAACTGGGAGCAGCAAGAAGGTGGCGCAGACAATTCCCACAATTATCACCAGCTGATTCCCATCCAGGATCACCGGCCGATCGGTCTGGGGTCGAGGAGTTGTTGCAATCGACACTTGGGAAAGGGAGAAAGTTTTGAGAGAGTTGCAATATTCTAGAAGAGCAGAGAGCCCCAGTAACCCTATGCTAAATAGCAGTAACCAGGTTAGGAAGCAGAGAAAGAAGGCCAGGCTGCATCCCATACCGGGACACAGGAACACCATCCCCATTAGACTAAGAGCCAATCCAACCCCATTGCTTAGCCCTAAAGTGAGAGTTAAACTTGGCGGGAGAAGTGGCTGCCTTCACCTATACTAGACCACCCTTTTACATCAGTAATTCTGTATTAAAACTTGGTTTACCAGATGACTAGATAGAACAGTCATTTGCAAGACCACTGACATTTTTATGGGCAAATGATAGTCTCTATGCTATAACATCCAGATGCACAGTCACAATGCTATATAGGGCATCCAGGGTGTTTCCCACTGGTGTAACACCCTTCACTCAGCTCATCTATTCACTCTAAAGACATATATCAGCATTTCTTTAGTACTGGAGAGCTCTAGACGTCTACAAAGACAACTGATGGCCAGTTCCTGCCTCTAAGGAGGAACATGACAACAGATGTCTGCCTGTGGGGGGGATAGGGAGGCACAGATAAAGGGGGTGCTCGGTTCTGTGAAGAGCATGGGAAGAGACCTTTGGTGGTAGGGGTTAAATTTTAATGTGAGTTTTTAAAGAAGTGTTCAGTTGGTTGGGCTGTTGATAAAGCAGAGGAAGGCCAAGAAGATGTCTTCAGGGTCTGGTAGACCGACGGGGTGTTTTGAGGAAATGGAAACAGCTTGATAGGTGCAGTTCAAAGGCTGAAGCTGAGGATGTGGTAGGCTGGAGAAATAATGGCGTCCACATCAGGAAGGAGTGTCATCGCCTCGGCAAAGTGGTGGGCTTTTTTTGCTACAGGAGAAGTCAGTGAGAGGCGTATCTATACGTGGTGGGATGGAACGCTCTAACTTGTGATTCAGAAAGAAGGCCCTGGCTAAGAATGAGAGCACAGAATGGTTAGAGGCTGAAGGTCTAAAACAGAGAAGAAGACAGTCAGAACTAAGGCCAGTGAAGGCCTGGAAGGAAGGTAGCCTCAAAGCCAGCCATAGAAATGGTGCAACTTATTCATCTGTTACATTAGGAAAGGGAAGAATCAAGGGCACTCCCTGGCATCCAGTTCCATAACTGTTTCCATGGTGGTAGTATTTCCCCAATGTCAGGAAGATAGGACGAGGGAGAGCCGTGCATATTTGAAGGCTCTGTAGAAATTTGGTGTGGAGTTGAAATACATGCATGCATATAATAACTCCTGCCCACCCCCCACACAACCAGCCCTCATCTCCATATGTCCTCATGCTTGGATTAGATCAACTGCAAAACTGTTATCTGTGTTGAATTATATGAAGACCTTTTTTTCTTGCAACAATTACTTATATTAGGTATTACCGATAATCTAGAAGTGATTTTGAGTATACTGGAGTGTCTGCAATAAACAAGTATTGTTTAATATGGCATTTTTATAGAGGGAGCTTAAGCACCCACAGATTTTGATGTTTTCAATGGAGGAGAAAGTTCCGGAACCAAATTTCCTCAGATATCAGGGGACACACATGGCTGTTTATAAACATTTGTGCCAATCTAATTGTGCCCACTATAGAATGGAGGTTGAACACAGCGTCTGGCATCACTGCCCTGAGAAGGCTGGGGATGGGTGACCTGCGTGCCACTGGTCACAAAAGGTAGAGTGGACCTGGCAGAATGAGCCTGAAGGAAAACAGAGCTGTAGGGTGAGACCTGAAGCGACAGCAGCGGGAGAAGGAAGTGAGCTGAACATGAGTGGAAGAGAACCTACAAGCTCAAAGCGTCCCGGGAGCACAGGGCAGGCAGGAGCTCATCTGCCTCAGCACCGGGCAGGTGTAGACATGCCTGTGGGTGGGTGGCCTCAGAAGGAGGTGAGCCCCTGCTCCCACCTTGATGTGCTTTTCCGTGGGATGGAAGGGAAAGCTTGTAAGCATGGAGCACACACAGGGATGCAGAAACTCCTTGAAGATGTCTCTGGACTGAGACACTGAGGCACTTCCCTTTCTAGTGGTCTCTCCCCACGCTTAGCCAACCACCAGCAGCTTCTTTAGGCCCCAGTGAGAGGCAAAGCCCACAGGCCACATCCTGACTACTAACCGAGTTATGATTTAACCTTAGCCTGCCCCAGACAGCACAATTAAGGCTCTGTTCTCCTCGGTGCACAGTTTGCCAGAACATAAAACCTTTTGTCAGAAACCCCTCTGTTTCTTATTCCGGAACCTTCCGATTTTCTCTCTGTTGCTTGCTGTCTTTCACAGTTTAGGATTAGTTTCCCATCACAAGAATGTACGACTCCCTCAAAGTCAAGCAAACATGACTCGGATCTCTATTCCACTCCACCTCTGAGCTCTGGCCACAAATGGGGTTTGGCAGAGATTTGGTGCTCGCCATGTTAGCGCCCCCTTTCCATGCCTAACACCAGACAGAACGAGGGCAAGGCGAGCCCAGGCACCTGGTGAGCCGAGCTGAAGGAATCGCTCTCAGGGTTGTGCAAGTCCAAGGTCAGTCCCTGAGAACCATGCCTCCTTCCACTGGGCATGCCTGTAGCCTCCCTGGCTCACTCCAGACACGGCCCTGCTGTCATGCATAGCCCCTCAACCCTCTCCACCCAAACATTAGATACTTTGAGAGTCTTCCTGGAGCACTCGCAGCACAGTGGTTTTCCTAGACTCCAGCTTCCCCAAGTAGATGTGGCAGGTGTAGTTTCCTTGGTCAGACACTTTCACTGTTTGAAGCATGATAGAGCCATCATTGTGGGAGATGTCGCCGATCAGGTTTACACGGTTTTGGAAGCGGCCCTGGTTCTGGAAGTAGCCACTAGGCATGTTTAAGTTATGGCGCCAGACAACCTCCTCCTACAAGGAAAGGTCAAAAGCATGAGGCTTGGAGGACTGCAGGGTGTGTTCTGGGGAGACCTCAGAGCTGACAAGGCCCTGCCACGTGAGAGCAGGGAGGGTGTTAGATAACACAAAGTCATGTTCACATGCAAGTGTATAAACACATGTGTACTAGTGAGGATGGCACCAAACCACAAACAACTGTCCCATCAGAAGAAGTGGTTTAACAGAGGTTGGTGGCTCTGGCCTATGATCCTAGCCGCTCAGGAGGCTGAGGCCAGAGGATAGAAGGTACAAGTGAGCAATTTGGCCAGACTCTGTCTCTGAATAAGGAGTGAAGGAGAGAAAGTTATAATTCTGCAGCAGAGTGCTTGCCTAGTATACGTGAAATCCTGAGTTTAATCTCCAGCACCAGAGCTAAAGACAAGAGAAAGCTGGAGACAGAGAAACACACACACACACACACACAAAGAGAGAGAGAGAGAGACATATACAGAGACAGATGAAGACAGAGAGACAGAGACACAGAAACATACATACACACAAAGAGAGACAGAGAGACACATATACAGAGACAGATGAAGACAGAGAGACAAAGAGACACAGAAACATACATACACACAAAGAGAGACAGAGAGACACATATACAGAGACAGATGAAGACAGAGAGACAGAGACAGAGAGACACAGAAACACACACACATATATACAATGAAAATATAAACTAAAATTATTTCACTCTTTGCTCTTTTCCAGAAAAATAAAGGAAGAAAGAGAGGAAGGAAGGGAGGGAGGGAAGGAGATACGGAGACAGAGAGAGAAGTGAGAGAGAGAGAGAGAGACAGACAGACAGACAGACAGACAGACAGACAGAGGAGGGGGGTACACTATTGTCTCTGGCACTTCAGTTGGATTTCCAACGGTCAGATAAAGTGTCTAAAATTGACTGTTGTCCTTAGAACCACTTCTTTCCTCCCATCCTGTTTCAACAAATGGCAATGTCCTCTTCCCGATGTTCAGGCTAAAGACCTTAGAACCATCCTCCCCTTTCTTAAGCAGCTTGTATCAAGCTCACCAGAAGTCACTCTGCCTTCAAAACACATCCCAGACCACCCTTCTCAGCTCCCTGCTGCTGTCGCACCAGACCTGAGCTACACCTCATCTCTACCAGGAGCTGCTCTCCTGCACGGGCTTCTCACCTGTCTCCCTGCTCACCCTTCCCCACAGTCTAACCTCGGTGAATGAGTTTTTAAAAACCTAAGAGGGGAGAAAAAACCTCCACCACCACCACCAACAACAAAAACCAAAAACCTAAGACCCAGCATGTCCTTCCTCTGCTCTACACCTCTCCCAGCCCCTCTTTTCTCCTCTAGGCCCTATATGCTCTGCCCTGATCTCTTTTCCTTGTCTCACACCTATTTCCAGTTCCTTCACTAGATTTAGTTACACAGACACCCAGCTACCTCCTGAATGCTGGCCTCAGGCCTACTGCTCGTGCTACTCCTGTAACTGCAGCCCTCTGGCTGGAGCCCTCTGGTCGTCTCCCCTCATTTTCTTCAGACCACTACCTTGATGAGGTTGCCTGACATCTACATAGAATAACAACCACAGAACTCTGCTTAAGGTTCTTCATGCCTCTTAACGTTTTGTTGCTTTAGATATTCAGTTTGTCATTGTCTCACTGCGAATCCCACCCCCCCCCTTACTATTACCATCGCATCAGGACAGGGTCTTTGTTTAGGTTTTGTTTTGTTTTGAAACAGGGTTTCTCTGTGATTCCCTGGCTGTCCTGGAACTCACTCTGTAGACCAGGCTGGCTTTGAATTCACAGAGATCCGCCTGCCTCTGCTGGAATTAAAGGCGTGCACCACCACCACCAGGGCAAGACAAGGTCTTTAAATGAATGAATGTTGAAATGTTTTACAAAGGTATGTGGATGTTTGGTGACGGTGGTCATGGTAGAGGTAAGGATTGAAATCATGACCTTATGCACACAAGGCAAGTGTTCTTTCTACCAATGAGCTACGTTTCTAGCCCTAGATCTTTTTTCCAAAAAGAAGAAAAGCCTTTGAGTGAAGGTAATGAGTTATAGGCAGAAACACAAATGGAGACACTTGGTCCCAACTCTTCTTTCTGTTGTGAATCATTTGATGGATGGCAAAGACATGCATGGCAATGGGGGCTGGAGAGATGGATTCAGTGTTGAGGGCTGGGCTGATCCAGCGCTTTCCCTGAGGCCTTGATGTGTGGAGAAGGAACATAGCTCCTTCTCTAAAACCAAGAACATGCTTGACAGAGCCTGGAATAGCCTAGGGCCAGGGCACTGGGGGAGCTGTGGCTTCAGATCCTGAGAACCCAACTCTTCCCACTCTAAGGGGCTGTAGTTACCAGCCCCGAGGCTGATGTATGCTCAGTCTGTAAAGTCCTTGAGACACCCTGTGTCCCCTTGTGCAACATTGCCTGATTAGCTTCCTGCTGACTCTGCCCCATTGTATGATGGTTTCTGATGGCTCTGTCCCATTTCTCCCCTAAAAATACTGTATAAGGTGCTGTGCCTCCTAATAAACTTGCTTGTCTGAGCCATAAGCTTGTGCGAGACGTCCTAATGCCAAACTTCATCTCAAGGCCACCTCCCCTTAGGAGCTTGCCAATAAAGAACTATCTGCTGGTCCAGGCAGCTCAGTTGTTTATACAGTACTTGTTCTTACAGAAGACCCAAGTTCAGCTCCTGGCACCCACACAATGGCTCACAACCATCAGTACTCCAGTTCTAGAGAATCAGACACCACCTCCCCCATCCATGGACATCAGGCATGCACATGGTACATATGCATATTTGAAAGAAAAAACACTCACAGAAAATAAAGCAAATAAATCAACAAAAACTTAAATACATGACAAGTTCTTAGGAGGGAACTTGGGGCTACATATCATCTCCCACCCTCTACCATGATGCCACCCTTTCCAATGTTCTCAGATAGCATCCAAGAATCAGGTAAGTGTGAGTGCCTTTGTTGGAGAGATGTCCTAGAATGCATTCTAATTTAAAAAACTGAAATCATTTATAAAACTTTGAACTTTAACTTCTGTCAATAAGTCAACTAAGATGCCACTCATAAAGTGTTTTTATTCCATTTGTTTACTGAGGGGCAGTTGCATGGTGTAAATGTAAAAACTCAGAGGATAGTCTATAGAACTCTGTTCTCTCCTTCTGTCATACAGGACCCAGGGGCTGAACTCAGGTCATCAAGCTTGGTAGCAAGCGAGGGCCATCTCACTAGTCCTCCGTACACAATTTGACTCCTAAATACATCACCATGTCATTGTTGAGATCTGTTAGACCAATGAACTAACTTGCTACTTATTGGTTTACAGTTCCTATGAATTATCCTTTCACTTTGGCTCCTAACAGTCTACCAATCCCAATCCCTGGAAAGTCTATAAAGCTGGAAAACAAACAAACACTCTCCATCACACAAAGTGAGTAACGGAGCACCAGGCAAAGTTTACAGAAATAGCACACAGCAGGGTAAGAATGTATTCTTATGCCTAGCCCATTGCTTTCTGGGTTAGGCCACACACACACACACACACACACACACACACACACACACACACACACACACACACACACACACAGGGATTGTGCAATGAAGTGACCACATCCATCGCATACAAAGTGCTTTCCATGTCCCATTGCACACCACGGTCTGAGAAACCTGAACATTTGGGCAATCACCTCTTCTCCCCTCCTCCTTCCCCTTTCCCTCCCACACTTCCTTCTCCTCCTCTCCTCACCTTCCTCATCTTTCTCCCCTCCCTCCTCCTTCCCTCCCTCCTCCTTTAATGCTCCTCCCTTCTCTTCCATCTTCTCCTCCCTCACTCCTTCTCATCAATAAAATCATATTTCCCACAAAGAAGCCAAACTTGTCCAGACAAGTACCTAAAGCAAGAGGCCAGGTCTGACAGACTCCCAGTCCTGGGCCTCTGCAATGTCGCCCTCCACAGGCCTACCACAGGGTACCTGACTCCTGATTCTCCTCTCCCTGCCCTCCCCTGCCTCCAGCCCTAGATGTCTCTACAGGGAGCGTTACCCCTTACCTTGGCATGCTTTTCGGAAGAAAACATCCAGTCCACCTTGGTCACATGCTTCTCTTCTGTGCTCTGGAAGAAACATCCCATCTCAGCTGAACTGCCTACATGGACTGTGAGCTCTGGGAATGAAGAGATAAACTGAGTCAGACATATAACCAGAGTTTCCAGACAATAAAGGCTGGGGGCTGGGAAGATGACTCAGTAGATAAGAATGCTTACTCAGCAAGCCAAAGAACCTGAGTTCAAATCCCTAACACCCATGTAAAAAGCCAAGCACATTGCCTTGGAATACCAGCATTTGGGATCACAGACAGGTGAACCTGAGAGCTCTCTGGTCAGCCATCCTAGCCAAAATGGAGCTTCCAGCTTAGTGTGAGGCCCTGCCTCAAGACAAAATGGTAGAGAGAGATGAGGGAGGGCAAATACAACTGCACCCTGTGTATATGAAGAGTACACACACACACACACACACACACACACACCACACACATAAATAATAAATAAAGTCCAGCTAAATATCCTCGGCAGCAAAATGTCACTGTCACACCAAACATGTGGGCAAAAATACTCAAGAGCCTCTTCTCTCAAAATGGCATGGCATCCTGGCCATGAGAATACGCTTACTCCCCACTGACCCAAGTCTGAAGTTCCTGTTGTTTTTATACTATAGCAAACTCTTTCTGCTTGCTTTTAACTCCTTTATCTTGCTCCTTTTCCAAATTTCTCTCATATTTGAAGTCCAGATGAAGTACAGAAAGTCTCAAGACTCTTGTTTTCTGTTCATGAACACAAAGACCCACATGGGCACAGCATAAACAGTGGAAGTCAGAAAACTCATTGTCATATTTAACAGCATAAACAGTGGAAGTCAGAAAACTCATTGTCATATTTAACTTGCTGGTTCTTCTAACTGAGGAGGAAGACGAATCATGGGTGACTTTCTTCAAATTCTTTTACTCATTTTACAAGTTATTTTAGGACTTGCTTGGCTTCAACACAGGTCATGGGACTTCTTGCAAACTTGGCCAAGGAAGTAGCTTTCCCTTTGACTGTTTCCTTTCTCTGTTTCAATCCTGCCCTCTCCAGAACCCAACCTCCCCATCTGACACACACACACCCCATCAGCTCTGGGTTCTCCACCTTGGAAGAGCTTCCTTCTGCTGGCTTGGGCAGGCAGCTGACCCCGCCATATTCTCTCTGAGTAAGTCATTCTAAGAGAGCCCTGACAAGAAAGCAAGTCGAAAAATACTGCTAATTTTTTCACACCATGAAGTCAGTTAAGAAAACAAAGGTGGGAAGACGGGGTTCCTTCAGAAGAATGCTAAGCAAGGGTCCCGAGTGAACAGACGCAGTGCATAAGCAGACCATTCATCCAAGCTGCCTCCCTGGGAGAACATGAACTTCCTGCCCAGTAAGAGCTACACAATAGGAAGAAAGCAAACTTAAGCTCAATGGACAGACTTCTTCTGCAGGCAGTAAAAATCCACTGCATCAGTAGGGAAGGAAACACCCCATCTCATCAGCCCGTTAAGAACCGAACTCTAGCTTTTAAGTGAATAATAACAACTGAACATCCTGAGTCCCTTTAACGCACTGAGCATGTGCCAGACACCTTACAGGCAGCGTAGCGATTAGTCATTGTAACCCCATCCAGTGCCTCATCTATGTTAAGGACAGACTTGACCATAGAACTATATTTTCAGGTGAAATCATTATAATGTTTTTAGGTTCTTACTGTATTTCTCTCCATTTTACACAAATAGAAAGAATAGCAAAAGGAGTTCAAACCCACAGGGGCAGTAAAGAGAAAACTCACACCTAAGTCCAAGTGAGAACAAGCCCCAGGCTTCCTGGTGTACAGCACCTATTACATCACGTGAGGCCAAAGAGACCGGGACCTAGAGCAAAAGGATACGAAACGAGTGCTATTTTCACCTAAACTATTTAAGGACTATGGAAAACGGAAGTAGTGGGATCCTGGGATTATGAAGTGGAGGGTCCACTTTGTAATGAGAAGTCACAGGTAACTATAAACACGATGGAGTTTCCACATGGACAGAGACAACCTCTATAAACTAGCAGACCACGGTTTGCCCAGCAAGGAGGCAAAACATAGGGGCTTAGATCTGCTCCTTCTTTGGCTGGAAATAAAGGGGAAATAAAGATGGGTTGCCTCTGATCCCCCCAATGTGATTCTAGCTGGTTTCCCTGGCTTTAGCTCTGGCCATTGGCCCCTGTTGGCTCCTTCTTTGTACCCAGGAAACTGGAAAGGGCAGCCGTTTTGTGGTCTGCCCTTTGAGGAAGGTTTAGGAACGCTGACAGAGAATGAGGGTAGAAGAGCAACCCCCAAGGAATATCTTGGGGGAAAGAAAACACCGGACTTCCTCCCACTTCCTGGAGGACCACAGCTTTGGAATTAGGGAAATGAGGAGAGGTGCCAGAGGCCACTCCCTAATGACTCCATGCTCACAAATTGGATTCACAAGAAGGATACTAGCTCAACACTGTCATCCATTACACTAATGTGTATTGATTGCCTATACTCTGCCAAGTCCTGCACCAAAGGCTTGTGAGAGGCAAAGAACCTAAACCCAGACAAGCAGGGAAGACACCCGCATGGGTGTGACCCGCATCGTGGTGGAGAAAGACAAGCTTCTGGGGGAGTTTGTTCAGTAGCTAAGAACTGAAGCTGGCGGGGAGAATGGAGGGCCTCGATCATGACCTTCTACTATCAGCCAAGCAGCCCTGAGGCCATCAGTTAGTCCTTTATGCCATGCCATCAAAGATTCATTTTGTTACTCTTTAGTTAAGAGTAGGTAGAGTGCATATGAGTGCAGGTGCCCAAAGAAGCCAGAGGAGTTGGATCCCCTAGAGCTAGTGATACAGGCCATTGTAAGCTGGGAAGCAAACTCCAGTCCTCTGCAAGAACAGTACGTGCTCTCAACAACTGAACCATCTCTCCAGCCCCCACCCCACACTCTGGTTTTTAATTGAAAAACAAATTTCATGCAATATATTTTGATCATGCTTTCCCTCTCCCCCAATTTCTCTCAGATCTTCCCCACCTCTCTACAACCCAACTTTATATTCTTTTTTACCTCCCCCTCTCTTAAAGCAAAACAGACAACAACAAAAACAATAAACACCAAACACAAAAAACAAACAAACAGACCCCAGCCAGGTGGGGGTGGTGCACACCTGCAATCCCAGCACTCAGGAGGCAGAGGTAGGTGGATCTCTGGGCGTTTGGGGTTAGCATGGCTCACAAAGTGAATTCCAGGACAGCCAGAGCTATTATACAGAGAAGCCCTGTCTCGACACCAAACAAACAAAAACCCACAAAAATGAAAATCAAAACAAGCAAGCAGAAGATTGATAAGACAAAAAATGCTCCAAAAAAATGAGACAAAAAGTCTCCAAAAATACCAATTTGTTTTATGTTGATCAACTGGGCATGTGGCCTGGCCTGAGATGTGACTGGATATACCCAGTAAGACTCCATTGGAGCAAACTGATTTTTCCTTGATACACACTGAAATAAATAGCTTTGGCTGAGGTGGAAGCTCATGTCCACCTTCACCTCTGAGTTCCGGAACCCTGACTAGCTTGAACTTGTGCAGGCTAGTGTGTGCTTCCACAGTCTCTGTGAGTTCCTGCGTGCGCCAGTTCTGCTGTGTCTGGCAGACACGGTTTCCTTGGTGTCACCCATTCCTCTGGCTCTTATAATCCTTCTGCCTCCTCTTCCGCAGGGTTCCCTGAGCCTTGAGAAGAGGGCTTTGATGATGACCTCCCATTTAGGACTGCATGCTCCAAAGTCTCTAACTCTCTTGTGCAGTTGTGGATCTTTGTGTTAGTTCCCAGGGTCTCATGCTCTTAAAGAGCACGTGTATATTATTTTCTTCTTGTTTTTTGAGACAGGCTAGTCTCAAACTTTCTATGCAGCTGAGAACGAACTTCATTTCTTCAAGTGCTGGGATTACAGGCATGTACCACCACATTTGGCTAGGAATGAGATAGCACAATGGTTTTTCTAATAGTTTTTATTTGCATATTTTATTTGGAAATGTTTTATGGATGTGGCAAACACATTTTAGATGCCCTGGATGTGATTAGTTTGGGTATCATTAATTTATTAGCAAAGAGCGATGTAGAAATTGCTCACATAATGAAAGAATTCAGAGCATCCTTGGAGTGGGCAGCTTCATGTGTCTCCACTTTCATTTCAGTCTAACTGTGGTCTACAAATGCCACCATCTCTAAGTAAGGAACTGTCTTTGCCATTTAAAATTACTTTGGTGCCCTCCATCTCTGGGGGAATTTCCTCCCAGCAGCTGGTTGACCCTCTAACCCTTTGCCTTCGAAACCACTTGTTCTTGAGATTTCTCTGGAGTGTGACGCCTCTTTGGGTTACAGTATTGGCTGCTACCCTTTCATCTTGGTCAGAGAGAAGAGAGAACTTTCTAATGTCTCTCCTGCCACAACTCCAGACACCTCCGTTGAAACTCTCACTTGCAGACTGCTTGAAAGCAGCAGAATCCCACTTTAAACAAAGCCTGAGGAAACATTACACAGATCAGCATAAAGGAAGACAACTTTGGCTGTTGTGGGTAGAAAGTGGGGGTCCTCTGTGATGGGGGTCTTCTGTCAACCCATGCCCTGTCCTCACCTTCTGCCTGAGATTCTCTGGAAGTTCAGGTTTCCACAAAAGGGCAATCTTAGAACCACTAAGCAGGACTGGGGATATAGCTCAGTGAGAGCGTGTTTGCCTCTTGTGACTGAGACGCCAAGGTTCAACCCACAATACTGTAAAACTGAAGCAACCAACCTCCACTTACAGACAGGAAAATGAGATGCAGTGAAGTAAGAAAAAGCTGTTCACCTCCTTCAGATCAGAACTCCTGACATAGGTGCCTACGGAAACGTGGACGAGGCATCAATGCTTCTAACTGCCAAGAAATGGCAGCCACAGCAAAGAGAGCATGGAGAAAGAAAAGGTCCCAGGGCTCAAGTATCAGGTCTGGTTTAGAAACAGGTGTCCTTAGATACACGGCTCAGCCCATCAAGCCTTGGTGACCTCCTCCAAGACGGAAAGGACAATACAACCTTCCCAGGGGTTCTGCGAAGAGGAGTGTGCGCAGACTAATCGTTACTGCTTACTGAAGGGAAGTACTTGGCCTAAAGGCGGGCACTCCATCAGCTCCCCTCCCTCTTCCACAAGCAATGTGTTGCCCTCTGGCCCACTTTGAGTAAGTGACCCCATACCTTTAGGCTTCTCTGGCAGCACGCGCAGTTCCACGAACTTTTTAAACACCACACTCTCATTTTTGAGGCGAATTTCACAGGTGTAGGTTCCCTGGTCTGCTTCTTGCACATTTTGGAGCAGGAGAGAACCGTCATTTCGTAAGATGTCCCCGACCAAATGAGAACGGTTCTGGAAGCGCCCCGTAGACACACTAAGGTTGGAGTAATAGTATAGCACGTATTCACTCTGGGAGTGATAAACAAAGGAGGAAATCAACAGAGGAGCCAGACCTGGGAGTCTGGATTGAAAAGACCATTATGTGGAGACAGTGAATCTATCACCATAATAGTGACCAAAAATGGTGACTCAGATAACAATGTTATTAATATTCATAATGATCATGTGGCAGGCAACTGTCTAGCTTGTACAAGGTTCCATGACAAACTTTCTACACAGACAAGTGAAACGAAGAATCCGTATTTTCATTTCTTACAACATAAGGGAAAATGCAACAGCTTCTGTGATAATCACTCTAGGATTAGAACTCATAACTTTTAGAAACCATTTCCTGTCTTATGACAGGGCAGGCAAGATGCCATTCAAATGTATGACCTAACCCCTTGGTATCATGGGCTGGTGATCCCAGCAGTAAGGCTGCCACTCCTCTCTACTCCACCCTCCTCAGGCCAGCAATATCATGACACAAAAGGAGCTGTCAGTAGGAATGGTTACAGGCTGGGAGGCAGAGCCCCGGCGAGTTCTTAATTTGACCTCCACCAGAGCTCTGCTTCTTTTCTATCAGCAAACAGAAGTGCAGTTCTGAGTGACAGTGGCACGGCAGGGACAGGGAATACACTCTGAGCTACAAAAGCAGCCATTGATGTGCAAACACTGGTATTTCATTGCTAACAGCAAACTACTTGGGCCGTGTTTCACAGACAATCCTGACACCCACACCTCTCTGTGGACTTTGTGACAGAACTTGAAGACAGTTTCCCAGTTAGAGCTCATGAGAGCAAGCCCTGCCTGTCTGCTAATCCCAACACTTCAAGCAAATGCAAAGAAACAATGCATGGTCCCCCAGAGAAGAAGAATGCTCAAAGAATCTGTCCCCTGACACAGAAAGAGGCCTATACCACCGTTCTTATGCCCAGCCCATCTGTCTGGACTGCAGGAATTGCCTCTCATGCCCATCTTTACCTTCACTACTACAATGGAAGCAAACTGAGAGAACTCCGTGTGTCTCCCATCGGCCCTGAACCAGGTCAACACTGGTGCCATTATGGCCCTGTTTCCTCCTCACAGTGGGCGCGGCTCTAATCAAGCAAGGTTGGATAATCTGCCCTGCTGATGATACACAACCAGATAGCTAAGCTAAGTGGAGGCCCAGTGATGACTCCTTCCAAAAAGCTCTTGCAATACTACTACCTTGAAGACTCAATGACTGATTCTCCCACACCCAGCCCAACTCTGACACCATTAGCCAGAGGCTTGGCCGTACACTCAGGCCGCCTTCTTACCTCAGCATGTTCCCCTTTTGAGAGTATCCAGTCAACTTTGACCACAGGTTTCTTCTCTGGGCTGTGAACAATACATCCCATGAAAGCTGAATCACCCACATGTACTCGCAGCTCAGGGGAGGAGGCAACCCTGTCAGTCAGACCCTGAGAATCACCTACAGGGGTTAAAGAAAGAAGATTTCATTTAGACAAGTAACCTCAACAAGAAAACTCAGTATCTATCTGTAGATACTATCCATCCCCCCCATCCACGATCCAGCATGGTCTAAGCACTTAAAAGCCCCTCACTTAAACCAACATGGCAGAGGAGAGTGGTCCTCTGCTTATCTACAGGATTCAAATCTGAAGAATTTTGCAACCTTCAAACCACAGGAAGAGCTCACTGCTCTGCTTGGCCTCGCTAGTCCCTTCCCCTTTTCTAGAATCCCTCTGCCTGCCTTTCCAGTGAAATCCACGTGCACTTCCTCACTTCTCCTAGCTCTGCATACTGCATCCCTAAATTAAACAGGAAGTGGGCTCATCCTCTCTCCCTTGCTCGTGAGCTTGTGGGTTCCCTATCTGAATGATCCACTCACTAGCTGTTTTGTTTTCTTCCTCCTTTCCTTTTATTTAATCCCTTCACGAAAAGCTTATCTCAGCATTCGCTGGCTGGAGTCTTTCTACAGTTAAGTAGGCCAGAGTGGAATACAACTTTCTCTTTGAGTTTTCTTTGTGTTTGCCCTCTCCTGGCCTCATTCCTCCAGCAACACTGTCAACTCTGCCCTTTCAGAGGCATCTGAAGCATGGATCCCCTCATCCCCTCATCTGCTTGTCACTCACGGAATTTCACCAAAAGGGAAAGCCAAGGACGTTTCTGTTTTCACAAGGTATCCTCTGGCACAAAGACAACAAAATCAAGAGACAAATTTAGATGCTGCCCAGTTTGTATCAAAGAAGAGCCAAATGAACACATATGGGAATGAACAGGAAAGGTGCCAGCCTTTTCATCCAAGCTGTCTCCCCTGAGAGGAGAGAGAACTTCCTGCCCAACAGCAGGCTCGCACAGTAGGAGGATGGAAAAGAACACACAGACTCTCAACCCTTCAGATGGAGATATTTGAAAGAAATCATATTAGCTCCAGCAACTACTGGAATTTTCCTGTGAGGAAGACTTGAGTGTGTGTGTGTGTGTGTGTGTGTGTGTGTGTGTGTGTGTGTGTGTGTGCGCGCGCGCACCTGGAATTGAGCAAAGGCAGCCTTTGCTTATTTTGTTGAGTGGAGGTTCACTGTCTACAGCTCAAAATAATAAAGAGGGCCAATGAGATGCCACCAAGCCAGATGACCTCGGTTCAATCGCCCAGACCAACATAGTATGAGAGCCAGCTCCTGCAAGTTGTCCTCTGACCTCCATACTAGCACCCCCACTTAAATAAGTAAAATAATGAATAATAATAAAGAGTTGGGCATGAAAATGCACGTCTGTGATCCTAACATTCAAGAGGCAGAGAAAAGAAGATAATGCCTTCAAGGCTGGGCTCCATAGTATCAAGTCCCAAAGAAACCCTGGGCAAAGGCTAACTGTGGTGCTGATTGACATACCAAAGTGCACACGGACCACCAGGCTCGCTCAGCATTGCAAACACCTGTTACAGAGTCCTCTCCTCACACACACACCCTCCCCACCCTAACCCTCTCCAGCCACTGAGCATCCCTTGACTTCTGATTCCTAGGCATTTTTTTGTTCTCTTTGCTCTCTTGGCTCCTTGGTTCTTCTCTCTTTTGGTTCCTTTCTTGGTCCTCTGCTCTTGGCTCCTGACCCCCTCTCTTGCCTCTCTGTTCCCTCCCTCTCTCACTCTCCCTCCCCATCTCTCGTCTCATGGTCTGATCTATTCTGCCAGCCGTGTTCAGTCTGGGCTCTTCTAGATGCTTCTGGCAGTTCCCTCCCTCACATCTACAATAAAAGCCTTCTCTTCAGCCATAGCTAGGAGCATGTCATGTCCTTGTTTTCATTCACATAGAAAGACCCTGGCTACAAATTAAATAATTAGTAAGTAAGATGGCAAACCACCACATTAATTTCGTCTTCCCACAGATCTATTTCCATGGAATAAGGAACAAGCTCCAGGCAGAAAAGAGAAAGAGAAAATAAGGAAATGAAGGTGGGCAGCCTGGGCTGTCCTGGGCACCAGGGAAAAGTCTGAGCAGGAGATTCCCACCCAGAAGGAAGTAAAACTTAGGGGGAAGCTTGTGGAATCCGGAAGGCTTGAGCAAGTTTGTTGGGGTGAGGTGCTAGGGAAGGGGGTTAAAGTGGAAAGGACAGAGAGTTCCAGGCAAACAACAACAATAACAATTGGGAAAGAGTTCCCTATGTTTAGAAACCACAAAAGCATCTGCCTGGCTGAGGCACAGAGACAAATAAAAGGGCCCCTCCATTTCTGCTTGGTAATTTTCCTTCCATATCTGAGACTAGCTAGCTGTAATTGACTGACACCAGTGTAAACTGTAGGAATGCCACAGAGAAACTTCCTTTCACACAAGTATGTTCTAGAACACGCAGGAACTACCCAAAGATATTCTGTGCCCAATCTTTTTTTTTTTTCACAGTCATAGAAATCATTTTAATATTACTATGTACTTTTCCTTTACAGACAAACTAGACATATACACAGTTCCATCCTATACAAGACAAAGTAGAAAACTAAACTTTACTGCATTTACCCCAAACACAGCACCAACTGTGCTACAGGTCACCTGGTCCAAAATACTCAATTCTACAGATAGGCCATGGTATTAAATTCATGCTGTGCCCAATCTTGACACAGAAGAAGGCAAAAAGAATCAACTACTGCTTCTAAAACAGCAGTTTCACCAGAACCAGAAGTCCCAGACCAGAGTTTCCGTATCACAAATCAAAGGGAATTAAACAAAAATAAAAGTTGGCTTTTAAAAATGCATGAGACTAGGGCTCAGTGGGTAAGGGCTCTTGCCACCGAGCCTGAAGACCTGAGTTCAACTCCAGGAAACCACATGGAGGAAAGGAAGGGTCAACTTCAGCAATTTGTCTCTGACAGCCTCATGCCCTTTCCCACAATACAAAATAAATAAATAAGTAAATAAATAAATATCAAAAAATGTCATGTCTGAGACAAGACAAGCACCCGGGTATTGCCCCCCAGTCTCTTGCTTCGACTTACCCAGAATCACTGGAATCACAATCAGTTTCAGGAGGCGAAGCATGCTACTTTCAAGCTTCTGATCTTAAGATAAATGGAAAACCAGAAAATAGTGAACGGAGGACATTGTTGACTGAACGCACCAACAGTGAGCACCAGTGTGGGCCAGGTTGTGTCTGAGGCACTGGCACGGCACTGAACACGGAGAGGAAGCTCCCCAGCACAGCTACCCTTCACATGTGAGGAACAGCGGGGGAGGGAAGAGCTCGAGTGTGCATGACAAGACAACATCTAGATGCTGAGGAGGGATATGGCAAAACAAAACCAAGTGACATCTGAAGAGACACTTGGGGTCTGCTTCAGGTTGGCCAAAAGGGAAGGTCAATGAAAGTCGCTTTTCCAAACAAAAAGGGCAAATGAGTCCCTACGGAGCCCTTGGGACAACCACTCTAGATATTCCACAGCCTGCACGTGTCACATGACCCAAACACTACGGGATCCATAGCCTCAACTTTTTACCTGTCCCCTCCCCCAGGGCTGAATGGGAATTGCCCCTTGACAAACGGAAAGAATGTTCAGGTCATGTGGGAGGAGAAATATACGAAGAATGGAAACTGATCAGTGATTTGTATTTGGGCATTACACATGTCTAGCAATCGTTCCACTAATAGAGTCATAGCCCAGGTTCACAAAGGAGAAACGTTAAGCCTTAAAGGTATTACTTATCAAATTTAAAATACAAAGACACCACAGGAATGACCTTTTTTTTTAACCTTTTAAAGCAGGCCAGTGTGGGTAGAATTAAGAATTGAGCTGAATGTGTAAAACCATTTCTAATGTCTTTGTTACATTTATCAATCTCATGACATCCCCCAGCTCTTGGAAAATGACTCACTATTCTAGACAAAGTGGCCCCAAATGTTCTTAGGCAAACTGAAGAACCCTAACACTAAGAAGTCACAACTCATCCCATCTTAGGGATCAGACCCACTATAACCATCTCAGCTGTGACCCCTTCAATGACTAATGGCTCGGCCACTAGAACTGTTCTACCTCAGAACTGCTAAGAAAGGTCCCTTAATGCACTAATAGCAGGGGACTCCAGCGAGCTCTGCTGGGATATCTGGCACTGGCCACTTCCTTTCTAAAATGCAGTTGCCTGGAGCTGAAGAGATGGCTCGACATTTTAAGAGCATGTACTGTTCTCCCAGAGGATGAGCTGCTTCTCTCTCAGTCCCACATCTAGTGGCTCACAAACTCTAGCTCCAGGACATCTGCTGCCTCTGACCTCCAAGGGTACCTGCACTCATGTGCATACACCCACACACAAGCATACACACATGCGCATAACTGTAAGCATAGAATTTAAAAATATATTTTAAGTGGTTACCAAAAAAGATGCCTTACCTGTATTCCAATCAACAAAATCCACTGGGAAAATGGAAACTGCTCAAGGAGACTCCTTCCCTAGGTCTCCCTTGAGTCACTATACCTTAGCTTCCTCACCTACAGCACAGGATGACAATGCAAGAATCAGTTATGATCATATAGATAACAGTGCTTCGAAAAAGAGGAAACATTGCTAGGCAGGATCCCATTTTCTAGAACCCAAGAGCCAGACAGAAAGCAGCCTGTGACTTCTACCTTTATAGGAATGGTAAACTATCAATCAAAATAAACTAGAAGCCTTGAGTACTACCACTGTCAACATGTGGACAAGAGCACCGCTCCAGCTGTCTCAGGGATGGAACAGAAGGCCCTCCCCCGACATATACAGACTTGGTGGTCATACTGGGCTTCCCTTGTAGCATGTCTTGTCTTTAGCTCATCACATTCAGACATCCACGATCCCTGTCACCTTCTAGGGAGCTACTGAGTTCCTTTCTCTGCTCAGCAAACAGGGCCCAACTCTCACAGGATTTTCCCAAGAAAGCACCAGTCACTCAGAGGTGTAATAGCTAATTTGCATGTCTGTAACCAATGCATATTGAAGTCTGTAAACTCTCAAGGACAGGACCATGTATGTCTTGTTTGTATTTGTGCTCCAACACTGTTCTACATAAATTGCTGGGAGCATGCCAGATAAATGTTTGTCACTGACAATGTGACCATTACCTTGAAATCAGCTTCGAGGCATCCTGCAACCCCTTGACACTACTCTATGAAGAAACCAACAACTTGAAAAGCTGACTTACTCACGCAGAACCACACCCAGCCTCCTTCAAACCAATTCTAGGAAATACATAGTATGATAGGCAAACAATACCCATTTTCAGTCTTAAATACTCAAATGCACTGATAGAATTCTGTGGGAATTAAAGAGAAAAGTATGCTTTTTAGCAAAAAGAGCATTGAATTTGAATTTCTTTTTAAAAGTTATTTTCCAGGCTCAACCCCCTGAACTCAACTTTAACATTATAGGCTCAGATTTTTTTGTTTTTGTTTTTTTAGTTGATAGACAACTACACTAAAAATTAAGACTTAATATGCAATAAACAAAGAAAGATGTAACGTTAGGGATTGTCTGGGTGATGTACATACTAACTCACTCAATCTTCCCCACAACTGTGAGACTTTTTGCAGATGGGAAAACTGAGGTACAGGCCAATGGTATGTTTTGCCTAAGAACAAAGAAGATTGGAAGTCTGACTTGAATCCCAGGCATTCTGGATCTTTCTGCCCCAGCCTGTATCATCACATTGCAGTGTTTCTCCATGTCTGTCAACGCTGTTGCGCACACCCCTTAACTCCTTTTGATTCATCTTTCATATGTCAAGTTAAATGCCATTTCCTCAGGGAAACCTCCCCTCAGGCATCCATTCTAGGACAGACTACCTAGCTTCACCTTCATGGTACTCTTTATTTTTCTTTCAAGGCATTTGTCACAACTTGTAACCATCTATTTGTTGCGGTGCTCATCTGATTAAATATTTGCTCTTCCTCTCACTCTCCAAGACTCTAAGCTCCAAGAGGCTGAGAGGGAGCCTATGAATCACTACAGGTCCAGGGTCAACATGATGGGGGCAGGAATCCTCAGTTTACAGCTTCTCAAACAAGCTCATGGCACCTTGGGAACTTACCAAGAATCCTCCAGTCAAGTTTCAATTTCCTGGGTAGGTGGCAAACATTCAGAAATTCTTTTTTTATACATGCACACATCATCATCATCATCATTATCATGATCATCATCACCATCATCACCACACATTAGTGAGGGGAATGTATCATCAGGAAATTCCATTGTGTGAACATCCAAGAGTGCACTTATACAAACTAAGATGACTACAATGCCACTAGGCTATATGATCTTATAGGACCACTGTCTATGCATTGTCAAGTAAAATGTTATTTAATAAATGACACATACATATATACATGTACATATATGTATGCATACACATATATTTGAAACATATGCAATTATCAAAATTCTAAATTCTAAACACACACACATAAATCTTGGTTTTTAGAATCCCAGGCATCTCGCACATTCAGAAGCACCTTGCCAATAGGCCTTGCTTAAACCCTCATCTCTGCCCTGTTCCCTTTCCAGACATTGGTATAGCTCAGCAGTAGGTTTCAGGTAATGCCACACAGCCAGTTATTTCACGTGCTGGCCAAGCATTTTGACCCAAGCTTATGGCTTTCTCACAATAACTCCTGGCAAGCATCTCCTATCAGTCCTAGGGTTACAATATTTACATACTATAATAATACATATTATTACAATTTTGCAAGACAATGGAAGAGCAGGGTGCTGTCTCCTAGCCAAGTTGCCCCTGGTAATAACGAAGACTACAGAAAGACAGACAACTGTGCAACATTGTCACTCATGCCTCACTCCTCTGTGATGCTAAGTTCCTTCAACTCCCCCTTCTGTTCCTGTGTACCTCTGGATTCTCAGGAATTTGTACATATACAAATCTTCATGACCATCCCGCGATACAAGCCTCTTAAAATATGCCCTTGCTTTTCCTTCTGAGACCATCTAATACAGATAGGGGCTTTGTGGCTTTTGAAGCACAACCTAGATTACATACTACTCAGATGGAACCTTGAGAGCCATCTCCCTCTCCCTCCAGACCAGCATATAGTTGGTCCTAATTCATCTTGCGTCTGTTTTTCTAGAGGTCTGGGCTAAGCCAGGGCAGTCCAGCTCTCTTGGGAGACTTGAATTGCTGCCTTCATGACATGTTGATTTATCCAGAACATGGAGCAGACACTGAGGAGGATTTCTGCCATGAGCTCAAGGACAGCCAGTCACAACTCTGCTTGAAGCCACAAGCAGCAGGAAAGCTGAAGCCTACGGGTGACCTCGTTCATGATTATTACAGCAAAGCTTACTTCTGTTTTCTCTGAGAACCTTGACACAAAGCACACTACTAAGACTAAAGTTGCACCTGCTTGTCGACCTCATGGCAGCCCCTGCTGCGGAGACTGGGGACTCTGTGCATGGCCTCCTCATCCTACAGCAATGGCAATCTAACCAGCCTTCTTCTCAGAACAGTTCAAGCAAGGACTCACAGCACACACATTCACTGCTTACCCAAGATGTCAGCGCCCAGGAAAAGCAATGCACCGCGATCTCCTGCCACAGCATCCCCCACATCAACTGAGAGACTTCTGCCAGCGCAGTAGGTCTGGCTCAAAGCAAACCAGATGCATGCATGTCTTTTGAGGTGGCTACAGAAACCTAAACAGGAACCTTCAGCTCAAGGTTCTCCTTTCAGCCCCCAGTCTCACTACCCAATTTGCATTTATATTTTCATTTGTTTGCTTCAAATTTTTGTTTGCTTTCACAAATACTATCCAGTGGATTGTGATGATCATATTCATCCCATTACTTTCTCTTATTTCCGTCTCACCCCTGCTGATACCCCTCCTCTTCCCAACTAGTCCTCTTCTTGCTTTTGTGTGTGCATGTACTTGTGTGTGCATGCATGTGTGAGTGTCTACATGTACATATGAGTATGTGTGTGTACCCATGCAGGTCTCATTCAGGTAGTCACAGCTTCTGTGTGTACATGACTAGAATGTCATGTCATATCCAGAAGCATAGCACTCCATTATCTTCTGGTTTTTACATTTTTTCTGACTCCTCTTCTGTGATGTTCCCTGAGCTTTGGAGGGGGTGGTACCAGCATCCCATTCAGGACATTTATATTTCTATCCTAAAAGGAAGGACTGTATGCAGCTTACTACAATGACACCTGCAGGTGCCACTTCCCTTCCTGGATTCCAAACTCTGAAAGCAAGGTCTCAGATGGGCCAGCTGTAGTGGTGTATGCCTGAAGGCTCAGTACCCAGAAGGCTCAGGTAGGAGAAGACAGCCTGGGATATACAGTGAGCCCCTACCTAAACAAAACAAAACAAAAACAAAAATCTTGAAAGGCACTTACTGGGAAATCAGCTTTTTGTAAACAAAGTACAATTAATTTAAAATGAATAAAAACATTTTACTGTTTCAGATACAGCAGCTTTCTCTCTCTCTCTCTCTCTCTCTCTCTCTCTCTCTCTCTCTCTCTCTCTCTCTCTCTCTCTCTCTCTCTCATTATAGAGATGCATCCAGGCGAATCAATCACCCTTTAGCTGCTTCCAAAGATTCCTCATGTCAGGAGCTCCAGCCCACCATGTTGCTGCATAAGTTTCCTCTGACTATAAGAGTTGCCAGCAGACAGGGATGGAGCAAGTTATTCTAGCAAACACTTGGAGTAGCTTTGCCATCCTGAGGAACAACTTGGGGCTTCCTGATAGCAAGATACCGCTCCATTTTAAGTCACCTTCAAAGTAGGTGTTCTCCCTCCCTCCCTCTGTCTCTCTGTCTCTGTCTCTCTCTGTCTCTCTCTGTCTCTCTCTCTCTCTCTCTCTCTCTCTCTCTCACACACACACACACACACACACACACACACATTCACCCTTAGCTCTACTGGATTGACCCAAGTCTGAGCATACTCATCTTTTGGAATGTGTCCTGTCCTGAAAACTATTGAATGCTTTCTTGCCTCAAGGACCATACTGCATGGGCTGTGTGTAAAAATTCCCACTACAGTCTATTTCGTGCCACCAACAGTTTGCCACTTGGTTCACAACATTTCTAGAAATGCACTCATCAGCTCCTGCTGTGTGATCAGGCCACTGGATCTATTCAGAGTCTTGCTGGCACACAGCTCAGACAGTTTTCTCAATGTTGAAAACCACAAACCCCCCTCTCTTTCATGTGATACTTCTCTTTTTAATGCAGACAGACATGAAAAGGGTAGCCACAAGGTGCAAAGAAGTTTATTAACTACAGTGGAGTGAAGATTCCATGAGTCACAGTGTCTGTGCATGCAGCCTTACAGCTCACAGCCTCCGGCAAACAAGAAGTTTAAGTTTAAAAGTCAATGAGATGCAGCAGTGAAGAGTTCACCACTGGAGTGTTTTGAGCTGTGCAATCAGTCCGCTCCATGGATCTTCCTAGAGCCCCTCTTCAGAATGGGAGCTCAGTGATACGATAGAATATTCTAGCTCAGGATTTGGCCTCCAGGTTTTCTGTTGTTGTAAAACACACACACACACACACACACACACACACACACACACACGAGGGAGGGGCAACTTTCCCTTCTGAAGCACCGTGGCCTCACTCAGGAGCTGCAGACAGTTAAGATGTTCCCAAGTAGCCTGAAGTCACAAAGGGAAAACAAAGCACTTTATAAATTCACATTTTATAAGTTTTAAGAGACCATAATGCATAAAACTCAGAAGATGATACAACCACAATGAAAAACTTAAATCTCTTCCCAGACAATGCTATAATGTCATGTGATTTGAGCCCACAGAGCAGCAAAAAAGGGGGGGGGTATGAGAATTGGCAACTTAGAAGATATTAAAACAGTAAGTCAAACAAACAAAAACCTTTTATCTTACATTCATTTTTAAAGAAGGGAGTGTTCCATACACTGCCTTATTGTCCTTAGGATCAAAAGGCTATCACACAAACCTCGGCATAAGAGTGAAAAAGGAAACTGAAGGGCCTAAGTCTTGGATGTAACCACAAACCCATGGAACAAATAAAATGATTGACTTCCCTACAATGAAGGCTTTCATTGGTCTGTCATTTAAAAGCGAAAGAACCATTTCAAAACAGGGAACACAACAGTGTGTGTGTGTGTGTGTGTGTGTGTGTGTGTGTGTGTGTGTGTGTGTTGGGCATCAGTCACCTAGCTCACCAATGTCTAAGTTAGACAAAGTTCCACAACACACTTGCAGGAAAGTCCTAAGACATGAAACTGGTCCTTCATTTTCACAGGATGATGGTTTAAATGGGTTCTTGTAACACCTCTGTCATAGCAATGAAGCCCACAGCATGGCCCCCTCATAACTGGATCCCTCTCTTCAGATCTGCGAGAGTCCAGTTATTTATGCTTGGTACCAGAATTCTATCCTCTGTGTTGATCTGTCAGAAATGGTCTCACTGGAGTGGCCGCAGACAACCACATCTTTAACAAGTAGCCCAAAGAACCATGAAGTCTAGGCACCAAAGATGCAGAATGCCAGTTCCTCCTCTGCCTCTTCCATGGGCTTCCGTGACCAGAGCTAAATCACAGCGCTTATCAGCTACTCAGATTCATGGATCAGCAGGTTAGATTAACAAATCTTCAAAGCAGAGTTAACGATGCCAGTTTCAAAAATAAGATCTTGGTGGTAAGTAGAATGACTTTTATAAGCTACATAGTTTATAAAACTAATATGGAGCCCTCCCAAGCCACTTTAGGAAGAACTAGGAAGAAGACCACCATGATGAAACAACCAAGGCTGGGAAAGGGGTCACTTGTGACTCTCACAATCAAGAAGTGAGCCCTGTCACTTTATAGAGAGGGCCGTTTGCACACATGCTGTCAGTCAGTCCTTCCTGATACATCAGGTACATCTGAATGGTTTATAGAAAACCTACTATAAATTAAAATTTTAAATAAGTTGCTACAAGACAGCAGTGGTGTTGGTTGCAAGGCATGGAGAGAAGAGAAGGGAGATGCTCTGCGCAATCTTACTTCCTCATCTCCAGTACCGAGAAAACCAGCTTGCAGACACAACAATGTGCCCATCACTATTGCAACTTGGAACTAGAAGTTCTAAACAACAACACAAGAAAAGTGGAAAGACCTAAAGCAAAGGACTACAAAAATATTTCATAAGTCTCTCTTAAAACCTTCTTAAGAGGTATTTCTTACCCCTGACTTAAAAAACCAAGGAGGAAACCACAAATTAGTCAGCTGTAGGAACACAAAATAACATTCTTTGGCCCAAAATGTACCTAGCAAGACAAATGAGAAAGACTACAATACCTCAAAATTTGGTTCCTTAACTGTAAATTGACAACACTAATACTTAAGAGACCCAGTCAAAGCAAGCCTACAACTTGTGAGCCAACCGAGTCTATCAAAATTGTGGTCAAACACTTCATGCCACCCAGACACAACTGATGACCATCAAACCACATAGTGCATACCAAATACTTGCAACAGAAAACGTTTGTGAAGAAGCAAAAGCTACCCATCCCAAACAAGTGTGTTGTTCATGGCACATCATTAGGAAGCTACAAGCTCCACATCGTTAAAAAGTATAATTTTGGCATTGCAGAGTGACAGACATTTAGGCAACTGAAAGGAAGCACGAACTACACACGAACTACATTCAAGAGCAAAGGTAAACCAAGGGGTGTGTTTCTGTTCAAGACAAGAATTTCTTTGTTCAGTCAGAGCATGTTAAGAAGGAAAGGCATGAGTCCCTTCTGGAAATTTCTGAACAGTTTATAAATATAAAATGAACACTTCTTCAATAAATAAATGGTCCTTAAAGTCTTCACTGATGACCGTCAGATTCTTCTGTCACTGCTGTCCCCGCCAGTGGCACTCCTGGCTGGGGAAATGGGATATTTCCTGCTGTTAGGTGACACTTCCTCCATCACACACACTTCATCAGTACGCCTCTTCATAGTCTGAATCCTAGAGGGGCAAGAATGGCAGATGTTTATGCACTACAATGCCACAGCTAGTTACAGGTAAAGACCATGTGTATGGGGTCTCCAAATGGAAACTAGCTTGGGGTAACAATGGTGGGATATCCCTGATAGCACACCTAAGTTCCATGGAGCATCACAGGACCTCAATACAATGTGTCCAGCAGGCTGATTACTGCTTTGAAGCCACAATGGTTCTCTTTATGACTGTATTTTAGAACTTAAATACACCAGAAAAGATGCTTGCCTATAGCAGAATGTGCATGGCTGTCCTGGAACTCTCTCTGTAGACCTGACTGGCCTCAAACTCACAGAGATCCACCTGCCTCTGCCTTCCAAGTACTGGAATTAAAGGCATTCACCACCATGACCAGCTTTTCTCCACTGTTCTTATGACTTTATCTACAGCAACTATGTCCTCCTGTGACACCTCCCAGTGTAAACTCAGCAATTATCCTCTCTCTCTCTCTCTCTCTCTCTCTCTTGCAGCATCAATTTTTTCCTTCTCCATTGGATCATCCACAACAGCATAGAAATGGTGCTCCATTTTGCCCATCATAAAAAGCAACTCAACACAGAGCACCCTCTGCCCCCTGCCATATTTCTTTGCATTCTATCTTAGGAAAGCCATTTACACTCACTTCCTCCCATGTGTCTTTGTGATGGTTCTTGCCCCTTCCCTTGTGCCTTTCACCCTCACTATCCCATTGGAGCTATTTTTGCCAAGGTCACCAGTAACCTCCACATCACCAAAACATAAATAGGAACTCCCAGTTCCTGGAAAATTTTCTTCCCCATCTCCCAAGATATTAAACTCTCTTGGTGGTCTTTCAACTTCAAAGGCCATCCCTTTTCTTTTCTTTTGCTAATTCCTCTTTGTCTAGAAGCCTTGGAGACCTCCAGGCTCAGTCCTTTGGCTTTCCTACATATATACACACCTATCTCCTTGATGGACACAGCTCCATAAGTCTCTATCTCCTAATGACTCCTAGATCACATCTCCAGACTAAGCCTCTGTTCTGAAAACACAACTGCCTCACTGAACATAATATGTTCAAACTCAACTCCTGATTTCACTCTTAAATCTTGCTCTGGGGCTGAAGAGATGACTCAGTAGTAAAGAACATTTTTCTGCCCTTCCAAAAGACCTGGGTTTGACTCCCAGGATTCAGTAGTTAAGAGACCCTGGGTTTAATTCCCAGCATTCACATGGTGTCACGACCATCTGTAACTCCAGTTCCAGGGGATCTGATCCCTCTTCTGGCCTCCGTGGGCACTGCATGCACACACACAGGCAAAATACTCAAACACATAAAATAAAATAAAAATCTTAACTTTGAGCTAAAACATTTTAAATATTACTGTAGAAAATGTTGGTTCTATTCTACTAGTTGCCAAGACCTCTGGAATGATCCCTGTTTCTCCTTTTTATCTTTAAAAACAAATGCCAGGAAATTCTTCTGCCTTTACTTTCAAGTCAGAGTACAGGACACAGCCACTTCTCACCGTCTCTACCACAGACTTCTCTCACTTGGATTATGGCTAATGCCTACTAACCAGGCTCTCTGATCCTGCTTCAGTCCCTTACTGTCGCTCTCAACACAAAGCTAGACTGACACTCTGAAAACACACATCAGTCCATAGCACTTCCCTCCAAATCCCCTCTAATGGATTCCACTTCATGTAGAGTTCAGATGACTCAGGCTTCTTACAAGATCTGGATGCAACTCTTTGACTCCCACAGAGTTCATTCTCGCCCTCCTCTCTTGCTTTCCACACTGCCCCCTTGTTGCTGCTCTCCTCTGAGCCTTGGCATCCACAGTCTCTTCCAGAAGCAATCTCCCGAGAAAGCTGTGTGGCTAGCTGTTCATTTCTCCTAGGAAATTTCTTGAATGCCATCGTACCAAGGGTAACCATAAGCATCCTCTCAAATACCACAGCCCTTCAGCTAACTCTTTTTCTGCTTTGTTTCAGCAATATTTATTTGCATTAAATACTGCCTAGTATACTGAGTATTTTATTTATTTTCAAAAAATTGTTTATGCCCCAATTTGAGAAAAGATGCTATTTCAACTGCATGTTTGAGGATGTGAAAGAGTTTTTCAAGCAGAGAACATTTTCCTTGAAGAGCGGGAAATTTTAATGTTTTCACATCTATTTTATAAGCACCTAGAATGGTACACATGGCACATGTCAGACGCCAATAAATAATCATTAAATGAATTAATACAAGACATGTAGATAATAACTGTCTCTTACTTTGTGTTATCAAAGTATTCAAACCCTGGGGAGTTGAGACATCTTTTTCTCATCTCACATAGGTGATTCAAGCTCACAGAAATCAAAGTAATGAGAAGTCCAGTGAGTGACGGGCTGCACTCACGTAGTCAAGTGCTGAGGTTGGCAGTGAGGACAAAGTGTGTGCTCACGTTAGCTCACGTTAGCCCATGTTAGCTCACGTTAGCCCATGTTAGCTCACGTTAGCTCACGTTAGCCCATGTTAGCTCACATTAGATCACGTTAGCTCACGTTAGCCCACGTTAGCCCACGTTAGCCCACGTTAGCCCACGTTAGCTCACGTTAGCCCACGTTAGCTCACAAACAGATCCTGAGGCATCTCCAGCTGCACCACTTCAGAGTCTCCCCCTCTCCTTAGATCCCAGGATAGATACAAGCCTGAGTCAAGGCCTGGAATGCACCCTTTAGAGATTTCAACCAAGATGAGGACCTACCAACACAGTGTTTCTTAGTGATGAAAGAAATCACCTAAAGGCTATACATCCTGACTTCCTTCAAAATACTAGGGTTCAGCTAGGTGGTGGTAGCACAGGCCTTTAATCACAGCATTAGGGATGCAGAGGCATGAGGATCTCTGTGAGTTCCAGGCCAGCCTGGTCTACAAGAGCTACACAGAAAAACCCTGTCTCAAAAAAAAAAAAAAAAAGAAAAGAAAAGAAAAACTGGTTCATCAGAAGTTCATTCAATTCAGGGTTCTGAGTTCAGAAAGTTGAAATTCCCTTGTAAAAATTCAATAGGGTTTTTGGTTTTTGTTTGTTTCTTTGATTGGTTTGGGTTTTGGTTTTTTGTTTGTTTATCAGTCAGTACCTTACACAGCCCTCTTTTTAGCTTAAGAATACAATTCTACACACATGAGACGAAATAAAATAAAATCATGGACTGATGAGATGACTCAGTGGGTAAAGGAGCTTGACATCAATCAAGCCTGATGATCTGAGTTCGATCCCTGGGACCCACGTGGTAAAAGGACAGAACCAAGTCCTTCAAACTGTCCAGTGACTCCATGCACTCACTGAAGCTTAAATAAACAAACTTAATTTTAAATGAGGACTGGAAAGATGGCTCAGCAGTTGTTTTTGCAGAGGACCTGAATTTTGTTTCAAGTTCCCATATGGTGGCTCACAACCATTGTTGTAACTCCAGCTTCAGGCAGTCAAACACCCTCTTTTGACCCCTGCAGACACCAGGCATAATGGTTATACACAAACACACATGTATAATACTCTTATACATTAAAAAAAATCTAAATTTGCCGGGCATTGGTGGCACACGCCTTTAATCCCAGCACTCGGGAGGCAGAGGCAGGTGGATCTCTGTGAGTTCGAGGCCAGCCTGGCCTACAGAGCGAGTTCCAGGACAGCCTCCAAAGCCACAGAGAAACCCTGTCTCGAAAAACCAAAAAAAAAAAATCTAAATTTTATTTTTCAAAAAAAAAAGTCAACTTGAGAATTGGTAGGTATTCCCAGAGACCCTGGTTCATACTTTCCTGTGCTGTCAAGAAGAAGAGAAAATACCAAACAGAAGAAACAGGACACTTACCAGACACTCCGCACAACGGACACAAAGCCTGGCCATACAGTCATTGTTGTCCTCCTGGTCAGTGCTGTGGAAAGAACACAGAGCAAAACTTAACCATCACTGTCCTCAGCACAAGCTTGGGTATTGAAATCACATGAGTAGTTTTATAGCTGACCCTTAAGGAGAGCCGTTAGGAATAAGTGATAAATAAATGTGCATGAGACCCCTGAAGACACCAGGCACACTGGTTGTACACAAACACACCCAGCAAGCACTAGGTAAATAGCAGCTAGTCACCCTCATTCACTCAGGAAAGTACTGAGCATCAGTTACGGCTGGAGTGCCATGCTAGGGTGGGAACAGAGGTAAAGAGCACCTGATCTTCTGATGAGAGGGAACCGTAAGAGCTACTGTGTACGGTAATACCATACGATGATGCTCTAACAGTTTGGGGGAACTGCCATGGGCACAGGGCAGGGAGAGACCAGGTCTCTGTCCAGAACTCAAGCGCACATCTTGGTTCTGGGGGTAACCAAGCTTCCAGATAAACAAGAAACTGAAGAGGACTATTCCAGGAATGTTGGGGTCAGGAGGAAAAAAATGGATGGACAAATAGATGGATGGACAGGCAGAGACAGACAGACATGCACACACACACACACACAAACACACACAAGAATGACTATAGTATATCTAGGGGGAAAAACACATAAGCTGAAGATAACTGAACTATAGAGTTAGTGAGAGCAAATGATGGGAAACAATGTGACTTGGGAACAGATCCCAGAGGGTTTGATATACATGCTTAGAAACAGATATTATTTTTGCTGTGTGTGTGTGTGTGTGTGTGTTTCAGATTCCTTGAAAAAGGAACTCTTTCTCCAGTAAATAAATAAACACACAGAAAAAAAAATTTAGAACTTCCCAAGATTAAGACTCCCTCATCCCTTAGGTTAGGAGTCCTTTCACAGACAACAGAAACATCACAGATTTTTTTGTTGCTGTTGTTTTTGTTTTGTTGAAAGAGGGTCTCACTATGTATCCTCGGTTAGCCTGGAGCTCATTATGTAGACCAGGCTAGCCTTGAATTCACAGAAACCTGCTTGCCTCTGCCTCCTGAGTTCTGGGATTAAAGGTGTGTGCCTCATGCCAGCTAAGGAGATTTAATGTATAATTCTGTTCCTTTTAAAAAGTAAATCTGGTCCCAGTACTTGGAGGCAGAGACAAGCAGATCTCTGTGAATTCAAGGTCAGCCTGGTCTACAGAGCAAGTTCCAGGACAGCCTTCAATGTTACACAGAGAAACCCTGTTTAAAAAAAAATGTAAATCTGGCCAGGCGATGGTGGCACATGCCTTTAATCCCAGCACTCGGGAGGCAGAGGCAGGCAGACCTCCATGAGTTTCAGGCCAGCCTGGTCTACAGAGCAAGTTCCAGGACAGGCTTCAAAGCCCGGTCTTGAAAACAAACAAACTGTATGGAAAATGAGTCAGTCAAAGAAACACAACCCTCAACAGAGTCAAAGAAACACAACCCTCAACAGAGTCAAAGAAACACACTCTGGCCCTGCAACCAGAACCAAAGAAATGCACCCTGACCTTGAAACCAGTGTCAAAGAAACAGTTTGTCTCTGGAATCAGAGCCAGTGAAAGAAATACACCCTGGTCCTAAAATTAGAGCCAAGAGGCTAAAAGGACCAGTAAAAGAAACACACTTTGTCCCTAAAACCGGATCCAAATCTGACCCTGAACCCAAGCAGAAAACCAACCAATCCCTGAGCATGAAATCTAGCCAATCTTAGTTCAGGGACTGAAATCTGACCAATCCCTACCCTGGAAATCTCCCTGGAAAAACTCCACCCCCCCCCCCCCCAAGAATCCCTATATAAACCCTGTGACTGCAGCTTGTGGCTGTCTGCCTGTTCTCTTCCACCCTGATGAGGAATCACTCTCCTGGATTCTTCCCTCCCAATAAATCTCTTGAATGAGGTTTGGGTGAGACCTTCATTTGCTGGAACTTTTTTGCAGCAGCCAGAATGGAGCATCAGGCTGAGTACTTCAGCTGGGGAAAGTGGTGTTTCACTCTGGGGGAGCTGAGCCAAACAAACTGTAACAACTTAGTGCTCCCTGCCAGAGCCTAGCTCTTACACTGGGGAAGCCTTTCCCTGCAGCAGGGCTGTAAACTGCTGTGCTTACTGTGACCTGTGGTAGTCCTCGGCTCCCGACTGCCAGAATATTTTTACATCTGAGCTGTAACACTCAGTATTCTGTGGCTCCCGAATGCCAGGATCCCTTTCTATCTGAGCTGCAATGCTTACACACACACACACACACACACACAAAACAAAACAAAAAAACTTCCTGGGAAACTACTGGATTGTGCCTGCCCATTGGCAGAATGGTGATTAATAAGTAATAAATGCTTTTGATAACTGTGGTGGTTTGAATAAGAATGGCCTCCATAGGCTCATATATTTGAATGTTTAGTCACCAGGAAGTAGAACTCTTTGACAGAATTAAAGGATCAGGAGGTGTGACCTTGTTGGCAGAAGTACCTCAGTAGTGTGAGCTTTAAGGTTTGAAAAAAGTCCATGCTAGGCTCTGTCCCTCCCTCTCCCTCTGTCTGTCTATCTATTGCTATCTCTACCTCTCTCTCCCTCTCCCTCTGTCTCTATCTATTGCTATCTCTATCCCTCTTTCCCCAGATTAGGCTGTAGTTCTCAGCTACTTCTCCAGTACCATGCCTACTGCCATGCTCCCCATCATAATAGTTCCCCATGATGATAGTGAACTAAGCAGCTGTAAGCCAGCCCCTAATTAAACAATTTCCATTATTAGAGAAGCAGTGGTCATGGTGCCTCTTCACAGAACTAGAATGGTAACTAAGGCGGTAACCACATCCATTTACCCCTTTCAGAGCATCTGCTGACCAAGAACCTCACATGCTTATTTAAATTTCCTTCGCCCTTCAGCGCTGTTCTCAGAGCCTCCTTCATTGCTCAGGCATATGTTGTTGGGAGATGAGATGCATGCTCATAATGCATGTGCAGGGCCACAGCACTGCATGTTGTGGTCCCGAAGCAGAAGCTCCCTGTCACTCCCCGGCCTCCATGTCAATGCCCACAAACGTCACTGTAATCTTCCCCTCACAGAACCACTCCATTTGGGATGACATTTCACCACTGGCGCCGACTTCAGTCTGGGAGAAGTGTGTGGACATGGAGCGCATGCGCTGCCCATTTGCGCTGCCCCCGTGCTGCGCGGGGCTGTGGAAAGGAGCCCGGCTCTCTGTGGGGACTCTGGTGAAACTCACTCATCGGAAACTTCAATGGAAGACTTCTTGTAGCCGGACCTGCTCCTCTTCTTCGCCCCGGTTGCTTTCCTCCCCATTCTCACCAGCAGCAGAATGACCACCACTGCCGAGGGGATGAAGACAAGGATGGAGAGAAGGGCCACAGAGGACAGCATGGTGCTGAAACCTGCCGGAAAAACCGAGAGAGGGCTGTGCACCTGCAGCCTTTGACTTCAGGTCAGGCCCAGGCCTCTTCCGATCCCTGCCTTTGTTCGTGCTTCAATTACAAAAGGAATAAATATATCACAGGAAACATTAAAAAAATACAGGGAGCAAAACATGCACACATAATTCCATCACCCAGGAGAAACACATGCTGTCCACCAGTTTATTCTTCTTCCAGGAGTCTAAAATCACATAGGGAGCAGGATGTATGTAAAAGCAGAAGTCCTACTTTTCACATTATTTTAGCTTAGTGTATGAGACATGTTTTGATTGACTAAAAAGGTCCTGATTATAAAGGTCTTCAAGCCAGGCGTGATGGCACCACACACCTTCAATGCCAGCACTGGGAGGCAGAGGCAGGCAGTCTCCACGAGTCCAAAGCCAGCCTGGTGGTTTACAAAGTAAATAGTGAAGCTCTGTCCAAAAAAAACAAAAAACAAGCCTTCTGAATATGACACAGAGTACTCTACCATACTGAATCAATTAGCAAATCAATCCTCTAACTTTAAACATTCAGGTTATTTCAAATTCTTTCCCTTCTTTGACTCTACAAGTCATATTAGAACGACCATTCTTATATATAAATCCTAGTGTTTAGCTCTGTATCTTAAGATAAAATTTTAAAGTAGAATTGTAGGGAATATATATATATATTGATTTTTTGAGACAGGGTTTCTTTGTATTGCTTTGGAGGTTGCCCTGAAACTTGCTCTGTAGACCAGGCTGGACTTGAACTCACAGAGATCCGCCTGCCTACTGGGATTAAAGGTGTGTGCCACCAGTGCCCAGCCAGGAATATATTTTTAAGGGAACATAATTTTAAGAAGTATGACTTCTACTACAAAACTGCCTTCTAGAAAAATAAAATCTATTCCTGCCAGCAGTATGATCATTTAAACTTGCAATGGGTCATTGTCAAACCAGATGATGATTATGACAAGGAAAAAGCTGAGGAGGGAGGGAGAAAGGGAAAAAAGGCAGGACAGGCAGGCAAGAGGAAATAAAAGAGGGCGGGAAGCCCCAAGAATTGGCAATTATAATGATTCATAATGTATCTCCACGTCTTTGACTCATATCCAGTTTCAAACTCAAATAACACATAATAGTCACCAGAGTGATTATTTTGGAAAAAGTCATTCATAACCTCATCTCCACAGAAGGAAATGCTGGTCTTTGTAGCGTAAAAGAATCATAACTCTGCCCCTTCTTAGAGGGAGTCCCATAACTGCAGCATGAACCCAACAGGACAGCTGCAGTGACCTCTACATCACACATAAGCATTAAATTGGGGGGACTGCTCAGCATTCCACAAGACATTTGGTCACCTGAAGATACAATGAAAACGTCGATGCAGAAACTATGACAACATTGGAAGAGAATATTCTATTATATTCTGTTTTCAAAATCAAAATTGAGATAGCTCAGCCAGCAAAAGCTGTTCCCACCGACTCCTACAAGCTGTCTAGTGACCTCCAGACACACAATGTAGCATGGGTGCCCACACACCAATACATACAAAATAAATAAATAAATAAGTGTTTTAAAATTCAATCTTAACAGGCACGTGAAGACAACAGTTTCAACACAGTGATCCTCTAAGCCAACTGGTAAGTCCCTGAAAACACCAGACAAGTGACAGCACTGTGGGAGCCTGGCAGTGAGCCGCTTACCCCTTTCTGTAACCGTAAGCTCCGTCAGGGGAATGTTATGATACACGTCGGGAGGGTTCTTCACGGCGCAGCTGAACGTCCCGTTGTCCTTTAGAGTGGGGTTGCTGATGCTGATAGACGCGTCCCCTTTGTACACATTTCCAACCCAGGAGATACGGTCTCGGAAGGTGCCCGCCGTGGTTGGGTACTGGAAAGACTGGTAATGAAAAATCTAAGAAGGCAATACCACAAGAGAAACGGTTAGCTTGGAAAAGCTGAGTAGGCCCAAGATTAAGAGGAATTGTAAAACAAGGGCTTTATTTTCCCCCAGTTGGTTTTGCTTTGCTTTGCCCATCTCTCTCTTAGAAAGACAGGTGAATAAAACTGATCAGAGAACAGACTCATGAGAGAGCCCTGGGATCTCAACCTTTAGATCTTTTCTATGGCTGAAGAGATGGCTCAGGGGCTAAGAGCACTGTCCATCCAGAGGACCTGAGGTCAGTTCCCAGCACCCACATCAGGCAGTTCACAACCACCTGTAACTTCAACTCCAGAGAATTCCACACTTCTGGCCTCTGAAGGCACCTTCATACATTACACCACACACACGCACACACAGAGAGACAGAGAGAGAGACAGAGACAGACAGACAGAGACAGAGAGAGAGAGACCACACAACAAACACACAGACAGACATAAACACATGCACACACACACACAGAGAGAGAGAGAGAGAGAGAGAGAGAGAGACAGAGAGAGACCACACAACAAACACACAGACAGACATAAACACATGCACACACACACAGAGAGAGAGAGAGACAGAGACAGACAGACAGAGACAGAGAGAGAGAGACCACACAACAAACACACAGACAGACATAAACACACACACACACACATACACACATCTAAACAAGAACTCTCTTGTAAATTTTTCCTAAAGCCCCCAGGAAATGACTCTCAAACAGGGGCAACATCATCTCCACAAAACATTTGACAATGTGGACAGATTCTTTTTTCCCACCAGGTTTTAAATTGTATTTATTTCTAATTGACAAATAATAAGTGTTATATTTATGTGTGACTTTTTTGTGTAGTGCTGAGACTTGAACCCTAGGCCTTATGAATGCTAAGCTCTACCAATAAGCTACATCTTGCAGTTACTTTTGCTTTTGAGGAACTGCCACACCATCTTCTAAATTAGCTGTATTATTTACATTAGTAAATTTCCCTTTTCTCCAACCTGTACCGATCCCTATTGTAATTTGTCTTTTTTAGATTTATTTTTATTGCTTTTCATGATGCATGGGTGTGTGTGTGCTTGCATGTGTGTGCATGCACATTAGTGTAGATGCCCACAGAGGCCAGAGATGGCATAACTCCTGGAGCTGGAGTTACAGACCACTGTCAGCCACCCCAATAATGGTGCTAAGAACCAAATTCAGGTCCTCAGCGGGAGCAGTGTATACTCTTAACCTCTGAGCCATCTCTCCAGCCCCATTATTAGTCTATTTTAGAATAGCTTTTCTTGGTAGTCTGTGAGGTGATATCTCATTTCAGTTTTATTTCTATTTCCTTTGTAATTGGAGGCACTGGAATTTTTCATCTATCTGATCACTGATACCGCTTCTTTTGAGAAATGTCTGCTCAGATCTTCTGCCTGCTGCTTAATCGGGTTGTTTGTTTCCTTGGTGCACTTTGGTTGCTGCAACTAGGGGTGGGGGTGCGTGCTTCAGGCACCTAGTGGGTAGAAGTCAAGGGCGCTGCTAAACTTTCCACGGTGCATTAGACAGTCCCACAGGTTTGACATCCATAGTGTCAAAGTAGGGAACCTGTACTATAGAGTAACACCCAGTGTTTGCTTCTCATGGTTTGCAAATGACTTTCACTGTTTACTCGCTTGGCCCTTATAATGTCACCAAAGCATATGAGGCAGGTGTAACTATTCTGAATGTAACAGGTGGAACTATTCTGAACTTAACAGGTGGAACTATTCTGAAAACAGAAAGCGAAAAGAGACCCAAATCAAAACATGATGCAAGTTACTCAAAGTCACACAATTAGCAAGTGACAAAAGGGAGATATTCATCTTCCGGATCACTGAGCAGGTGTACTACAATCCAACCTCTCTTGGCTTATCTCCCATGGCAGTTAATACAAGACCACATCAAACACCTGATAAGCATGCAGTGAATATGTGCTGTATTAAGGTGATACTGCTTTGGACTTGGTGATTGGACACTTGGTCACCAAAAGCATATATGTATGCCTGAAGGTGTGACAGGCAGTTATGACAATCAACATGGCTCTTATGCAAGACAGGAGGCTTCCCTCTTTCTTTGTTTACTTGGTACCTTCCCACTTAGGACACCACACCACCAAATTGACCAACTTTGAAGCGCAATTCCTCAGAGAAGATGCTGACTCACTCACTGGTTAATTTCATCAAGAATTCACTCCCCAGATACTCAGCGCACCCGCCATGTTCCAAGCATGTGAAGGAACAGGATATAGTGGGTACCACACAGGCATGGCCTCTATTCTCATGGAGCGTACATTTTGGTAAATAGAGACAGTAAAAATGGACATGATTGTGACAAATGTTCCAAAGGGGGAGACAGAGGAGGCCTATCAAAGCAGCATGATGGTGTGTGCCTATACTCCAGTACTCAGGAGGCAGAGGCAGGAGGAGTGCTGTGAATATGAGCCCAGCCTGGGTTATACACTAAGTTCAAGAACAGACTGGAGCACAGAGCAACAAACCTTTCTCCAAAAAACAGGGATCGTCAGGACAAAAAGCTTAAAATTTCCTCACTGACAAAACAAGGCCTGCTGTGTACCTTCCAGGTTAGTCTAACTCATGAATTACATGTTAAGTTAGTGACCCACAATCCTTGCTCCTTGGTAAGCCTGACAAGTTAACCACTTCCCCAAAACCGTCTCTTAAATGGCACTGATTCCAGCTCAGACGAGCTTGCTGCTCTCTGACTGGGTTCACAGAACACTGCTCTAGGAGAAGCACTGTCTGCATATAGGGTTTCTGACCCAAGAAGCTCCCTACTGCTCATTCTGTCCTACTTTTGGACAAGGAAGCAGAGTCAAATAAGGTCAGTCATGGCCTCCTGGCAAGTCAGAATAAAGGGAACTATTTTAAATCTACAGCAACAGGAACCTTGACTCCAGTCTTGTCTCCTTCACCACGGTTACCTGACCCCCTCCACACACACCACGGCCCTCGGTAACAGCTCCTAATGCACAATTCAAGGCGTAGTCACTAAGACGAAAGGCGATTTTCCTTCCAATGGAGGAAAAGAGAATAAAGAATACTTCCTAGAATCCACTCTAGGGACAGAGATGGCTCAGTGAGTAAAGACACCTTGTCACTGAGCCTGGAGGCCTGAGTTCATCCCCAGGATCCAAGCGGTGGAAGGAAAGAACTAGATTCTGCAAGTTGTCCTCTGACCTTCATACACTCAAAGTAGCATGCATGCAAATAAATACATAAGTAAAATGTAAAAATCCAATTTACATATGGCTGTGACATTCACATTTTTAAGATTATTTTATATATGTGGGTGTTTTTCCTGCATGTATGTCTGTGTGTTAGTGCATGCCTAGTACCCAGGAAGATCAGAACAGGGTATCTGATTCCCTTGGAACTGGAGTTACAGGAGGTTGTAAGCCAGCATATGGGTGCTGGAAATTGAACCCAGATCCTCTGGAAGAGCAGTCAGTACTCTCAACTGCTGAGCCATCTCTCCAGCCCCAACATTCAAATAGATCCTTAAATAGCACCCATCCTGCACCAAGGCAACTGATGGAACTATAAAGAGAAAGGGTTTTTACAGCATTGTAATCTCTAATTAAACACCCATAATGGGACTTGAACCATAAATGTGTTTTATATGTGTGACTAAAGTATATTGCTTTTAATATTGCATGACCATATGTCACTGATGACATCTGTCACCAGTACAAGGTGCTACTGTTTCCTTCAAAGGCAGCTACATAAATCACAGCAGAAGTTTACATGGCCAGAGGAGAAGCCAAGATAAATCTAGAGTGCAGGATTCTCAGACAGACACGCCCACAGAGACAGCAGGGTGGGAGCAGCTTTCAGAGAAAGGATGTCAGTGACGTGAGTGGGGAACTTCTCTAGCCCACGTCCTGGAGACGCCCTTTTTAGTATATCAGATTCAAAATAAAGCTGTAATGCCACACAGAAGGAAGCAACAGGGCAACCAAATTAAACCACATTTCCTCTTGGTTTCTGACCATTTTTTTCCTTGGAGATAATGTGCAAGAGTCTTACACAGCAGAGTAAAAGACTCTGTGTAATTAAACAAATATCACAGGACAGAAGCCTGGCTCACTCCAAAGACCTATTTCTTTTATTTCATTTTTTAAATTTAACTGTAGTGTGTATGGGGTGTACGTGTAGGAGCACTAGTGCTATGGTTTACGTGTAGAAATCAGAGGACAACTTTTGAGAGTTATTTCTCTCCTACCCCCATGGATTCAGGAATCGAACTCGGGTCATCAGGCTTGCAGACAGGAGTCTTTATTCTCTGAATGAGGAATCTGACTTTCTTTCTTCTTTCTTTAAGTGTAGATCAAGCTGGCTTCAAGTCTGCTATGTTGCTGAGGATGGCCTTGAATTCCTGATCTTCCTACCTCACCAATGCTGAGACTGCGGACGTGTGCTGCCATGCCAGGCATTCAAAGGAACTTTCCAGATAGTCCACACTTACAGATTCTGTGCGACTGCTGCTGGGGGGGCGGTATGTCCAGTCTATAGTCAGTTTGTCAGTGACATCTGAAGACGACTTGAAGGTGCATTTCAACTTGATCTTTTCTCCAACATATCCTCGGACATGGGCATCTGCACTTATCTCCAAAGAAAGGACGGTATGCACACCTAATGGAAGCAAGCCCAAACATTTACAATGCATTCCTTTTGTTGGATTATAAAATGGGAGTGAACACTGTAGATGCTTTGCATCATTTTTAGGGATCTCCACCAGAGCCACCAATGTATTTTCAGACAAAATTTATGAGGAGCAAGGAGCTAAGATCCATTAATCTTTAATAACATTTTTATCATGTTATAGTCTTAAATCATAGTAAATAGTTGAGTAAAAATTAAAAACTTAATCACTTTAGCATTTTTCCAAACACAGGCTTGCAGTTAAACTAAATACATACAAGGAAGGGTTGCCCATAGTAACTAAAAGAAAACAAGGCCCACTTCTCATCCTGTGCCCTCCCCAACACGCCCGCCCACACACACATGTTCCAGAAATACAGCAGCTTTTATAAGGTCTAAGAGACTCAAACTGTGGTAGTACACGCTTTTAATCCCAGCACTTGGGAGGCAGAGGCAGAGGCAGGTGGAATTCTGTGCATTCAAGGCCAGCCTGATTTACAGAGTAAGTTCCAGGACAGCCAAGAACAGCTAAAGCTATACAGAGAAACCCTGTCTTAAAAAAACAAAAACAAAAAAACAAACAGAGACTCAACCAAATACAATATCATCACAACATGATGAAACTACTAGCATTTCAACCAATAGCAAAATAAGGATAGAAAATGCAAATAGGAAATTTATGTTTTAAACTGTCCTCAAATGTTTTATCTAGTCTTCCCCTCCTCCAGCTCTTCCTTTTTAAGATTCATTTTTATTCTCTTTCATTATACTGATGCCAACAGAGGCAAGAGGCTTTATCCCCTAGAGCTGGAGTTACAAGTGTTTGTGAGCCAGGTTAATGGGAAATGAACTCTGGTCCTCTGGAAGAACAGTAAGTGCTCTAAACTGCTGGTCCTTCTTTCTAACACCTCTTCCTCCTCCTTTTCTTCCTCTCCTTCCTCTCCTTCCTCTCCTCCTCTTCCTTCTTGAGACAGGGCTTTGCTATGTAGTAGCCAAGCCTGGCCTAAATTCACAGTCCTCCTGACTCAACCTTCAAGACCTAGGATTTCAGGCATATACCACCACACCCAGCTAGGCTTCCTCTCAAAGCTAGCTAGGTGAATCATGTGAATCATACATCTATTAAAAGTAAATTATGGAGGACTGGCTGGAGGTGTAGTTCATGGCAGAGCACCTGCCTTAAAGTAAGATACCATTTTTAAAGCCTACAGAGTATGGTCTTTCTAAAACCACTAATTCCAACTTTGATGTTCCATCTTTCCACAAGAAATGAAAGAAGGAAGGAAGCAAGTGAGGGAGGGAGAGAAGGAGAGAGAGAGAGAGAGAGAGAGAGAGAGAGAGAGAGAGAGAGAGAGAGAGAGAGAGAGAGAGAGAGAGAGAGAGAGAGAGAATAAAACCTGGCACTTTCTTCCAACCATATGCTATAGGAAAAGCAGTGAATAAAATATGCCTCCCACTGGAGAGCATTGTTCTAGGAAATTAAAATGCTATCCTTTGGTTTTCCTGCTTCCTTCTCTATCTCACTAATCTAAGATTCTTCTGGTAGCTTAAGGCAAAGAGAATAGCAAGATTTCAGAAAAGAGCAAATTCACACCCTGCCCCAAGATCCAGTGGTCTCTCTGGCACAGGAGGATGGTGTACTGATTGAACACAAAGACGCCTAAGCCAGATTTGAGTTCAAACCCCAGTCCTATTGCTGGCTCTGAGCAGCTCAACCGGTTACCTTACTCCTTCAGTTTGCTCATCCTGGCAGATACAGGGCTTACCTCTAGGTCACTGTGAGGATTAAATGAGTTAAAACACATACAACACCCAGAAAGCCTACCTACCTCAAGCAAACACCCCAGGCCTGCTGATATCACCTCCTCTCTCTCCTACAGGCTCTCGACCTTTCCTATGGCTGGCATATCTGAGTCATTGTTCCCGTACCTTTACCTCTGACAGCTTTGAATCATTTTCTCACTCTGGACAATCTAGTCTGGTCGCATTCCTCCTGAAAGGAGGAGACCAAGACAGAGCTCACTAATAAGGCCTTTAATAAGAGTCCGTCCCACCTCACAGGTGATGGCCATCTGGTTCCTTGCATAGCATCCTTTCCGACTGCCATGCTAAACTTGCCATTTCTTGTGTGCCTTCGTAAACATTTATTCCTGTACTAGAAAAAAAGCCTTCATTTTCAAGCCCTCAATCACTCTTGACACATCAATGTGAAGAAAAGTCCTATTCAGCCCTGGGGATTCAGATCTAAAGTCAGAAAGGTAGAATGAACCCACAAATTACACAGGTTCCTCATCTTATGTTTCAAGCCTAAAACATAAGTACAATATAGAGCTTGAAGGGATAGATTTGAACTTAGGCAGAACTGCACCAAGCTGTAGCTCATCAGACGTCTGGCTATGAGAGCTTGGCCGCAGTTCCCTAATCCACTCAGACTTCAATTGCTCCATTGGTGAATGGAAAGAATAATTCTCCTAAGATCACTGTGAACATCCAGTAGACTTTAAACATATACAGGCCTGGATACAGCTCTTGTGAAACATGTGAGGCCCTGTGTTCTCTCCCTAGTACCACAATAAATAAGTGAGCAAACAAACAAATAAATACACTTAGAATGCTTAGAAGAGCTCTCAAGATAAAAACTTTCAATGAACATTTGCACTTATTATTAAAGTGGGCAACACACATACTAAAAATTCTGAACTAATGCCCTGCTGGTCTGTGGATTAAAATCTAAACAGGAGTAGTCTGTCTCAGACACCTGCCAACTACCCATCCTGTCCCTTTCACTATGCCTGGACTGTCCCCAAAGATACTGTGTCCTTTCATGTCTCTGTTTTCTTTGAACATATCTTTGTCTGGAAGGATCTCCCCATTCTTACTACCCTGCCAGAGTTGCTCCCCACCACATCCCAACATTCACACACTTTCATCAGAACTCAAATGCCAGCCCACTCTGTGACACCCAAATTCCCTGAGGTTCTTTGCTCTTCCTTTGAAGTTCCCACCATACAATACTACCCAAGCACATATGCCACGACCACACCTGATTTATAAAGGTCATTTCCTCCACAAAATGCAAGCACCACCAGGGCAAAAATTCAGAGGGAAGAAGGCAGGCAGAGAGAGACTAGGAGGGTTACCATGATTACTAGTGTAAGGACGTCTTCACTGCTCCCTCATTCGATCCCCATCACCTTCCTTATGGGATTTGCAACACCTCTTCGATGCTTCTGTCTGTACCCACTCAGGAAAAGATCCATACTTGATAACCACTTCTAGACTGGACTAGTGTACTAAAGGAGGAAAAGAATATCACCCAGATGTACAGACAGCCCCTCTAAGAAATGAGTGCCAGACGGAGGGTGTCAAGAATGACTCTCAGTTTCTACCAGGCTTGTAGAGAGGGACACTAGTCCAATTCTGAGTAAGTTTAGATGTCTTCAATACCTAAGGGATAATGTCAAAAAGAAGAGTAAGTCAGGCGTCCGCAGTCTAAGACCCATGACTCAAGTGGGAGCAGATGATTCTTGTAAGAAGGGAACAAACTCATAATAATTAGCAGTGACCCTGCTCTCTGCCCTGCGGGTAACCAGATTGTCCATCAATCTCTCCAGTGGTTTTCTGGCAAACAGCTAAAACATTTCAACATCTTTATGTAAACAGAGTTCTATTAGAATGCAACTACACTGGTTTGTCTGTGGCTACTTTTGCACAGGCGGCAGAGACTCAGAAGATGTAGCAGAGAACAGGTGCCTGCACAGGTGCCCCCATAGTCTAAAATGTTCACTCTTGTTCCATTATTGGAAATGACTGCCAATGCCTGCTTTAGAGCTAAGACAAGACCTGGGTTAGAGTTAGAAATCAGAACCTTAAGTCAGTCAGTGCACATTTTTAATCCCAGCACTTGGGAGGCAGAGGAACTCGGATCTTTGTGAGTTCAAGGCCAGCCTGGTCTACAGAGCTAGTTCCAGGACAACTAGGGCTGTTACACAGAGAAACCCTGTATCAAAAAACAAAAACAAGCCGGGCGGTGGTGGCGCACGCCTTTAATCCCAGCACTCGGGAGGCAGAGGCAGGCGGATCTCTGTGAATTCGAGGCCAGACTGGACCGACAACCTCCAAAACAATACAGAGAAACCCTGTCTCGTAAAAAAAACAAAAACAAAAACAAAAACAAACAAACAAAACAATCTCTCTCTTCCTTCTCTCTGTCTCCTCCCTTCTTCCCTTCCTCTGTCTGTCTCTCTTCCTCCTCCTCCTCCTTCTCCTCCTACCTCCATATAGCTCCTTCCCTCACCTCCTCCCCCTCCCTCTCTATCCTTTTCTCCAACCTTTCTCTTCAGTCCTTCTTCCTTCTCCATATTTCTATCAACTCCCTTCTCAAAAACTCTTTCCAATCCTATGTTATATTAATTCAAATTTCCCCCATTTTACCATAACATCCTTTCAGACATTTAACTTTTGTTTTATGTTTTGTTTCTTGAGACAGAATCATGCTATGTAGCCAAGGCTAGGCTGGCCTCCAACACCCTATCCTCCTGCCTCAGCATCTCAAGTGATAGGACCACCATGTTCTGGTTTGATATTTATTCTGGCCAAATAAATACATCCAACCATAAAAGACTTAAAAAAACAATTAATGGAGGTGAGAAAGATAAAGCCACATTCTAATGCAAATAATTTTGGAGCTGATAGAAATTAAACATGACAAAACAAAGCCCATAATTTTATACATCTGATTTTCCAAAATGTAAATCTCCCAATCTTGAATTTACATAGTACTTGCACTTACATGAAAAAGAGAAAGATGCAATACTGGGTTGGCTCTCCATCATTATTGCTTGGTCCTCCTCCCTTCCCTTCTCTTGTTCCTTTTTCTTCTTTTTTTGTTTTTTGTTTTGTTTTGTTTTGTTTTCCAGACAGGGTCTCACATTTCTCAGGTTAGATTCACATTTGCTAAGATAGCCTTGAACTTCTCATGCCCCTTCCTCCACCTTCCTAGTGCTAGGATTGCAGGCGCCCACCACCATACCCTGTTTTTGCAATGCTGGGGAATGCATCCCAAGTTTCATCCAAGCTGGGCAAATACTCTACCAACTGAGCTACATCCCCAGGCCCAGTCTATTGTTTCTATATACTTACACAACTGAAATAAGCAGGAGCAGATTTACAACTTGAGATCAATTCAAAAAAGATAACAATTTAAGGGCTCTATCTTTGAAGGGGAATAGAATAGCAAATAAACACTTGTGGGAAAGCAAAGCCTGTCACCTAAGATTCAAAAGAGACACAACAAACAACAAACACCAACAGATGGTGCACTAACAACATGCTCAGGGAAAAGGGCTGCCTCAAAGGGGCACAAATGGTTTACTTTGTACGAAATGCCCAGAATAGACAAAGGCATGAGTAAGTACAGTAAATTATGGTTTCCAGAGCCTGTGGGAAGGTAGGAATAGGTGTCGGATTTTTGTTTGGGGTGATGAAGATATTCTAAAATTGGTTGTATTGATGATTGTATAACTGTATATTTAACAAATGAATAAGTATGTGAGCTACATACCAACAAGTCTGTGCTTTTTTTAACCTTTATTTTTTATTTTATGTGTCCGTGTGTTCTTCCTGCATGTATGCCTGTGCAGAACTTGCATGTCTGGTGTCCTGGGAGGCCAGAGAGGGCATCTCAGTCCCTGGAATTGGAACCACAAACCATTGCCAGCCACCATCTGAATACTGGAAATCAAACCAGAGTCTGGAACAGAAACAAGTGACGTTAACTGCTGAACCATTTCTTCAGCCCCCTTGGCTGGCTGATTAGTTGGTTTTAAAGGCAAAATATCAAACTATCCCAGAAGACTTGTAGGAGTGGCAGAGGAATACAAATCTATTCGGGACATACCCAGAGATCAATAACTTAAAACCATCATTAGAATGTGTGTGCACAGCAAGGCCATGGTGGCGAATACCTTTAATCCCAGCACACAGGAGGCTAAGGCAGGTGGATCTCTGTGAGTCTGAGGCCAGCCTGGTCTAAAAGAGCCAGTTCCAGGACAGCCTCCAAAGCCACAGAGAAACCCTGTCTCAAAAAAAAAATATGTGTGGGAGAGAGAGAGGGAGAGGGAGAGGGAGAGGGAGAGAGAGAGAGAGAGAGAGAGAGAGAGAGAGAGAGAGAGAGAGAGAGAGAGAGAGAGAGAGGGAGGGAGGGAGGGAGGGAGGGAGGGAGGGAGGGAGGGAGGGAGGGAGGGAGGGAGGGAGAGAGAGATGGAGAGAGAGAGAGAGAGAGAGATGAGAGAGAGAGAGAGAGAGAGAGAGAGAGAGAGAGAGAGAGAGAGAGAGAGAGAGAGAGAGAGAGAGAGAGAAGCAACTTTGTTAATTAAATTGGTTCTCTCTTTCTATCTCTATCTATCTGTATGTAGGTTCTGGAGATGGAACCAGGTCCTCAGGCTTACATGGCAAGCACCTTAACCCACTGATCCATCTCACAAGTCCCCCAAAATAACTTATATTTGAACCATTTGTTCTGCTAGATTTGACACCTGCTCTTCTATGTGAAGTAATACTAGGTTTACAAAAAGACCACCATTTCTAGAATATTTTTCTCAATGGGGTATTTGAACATTTCTCCCTCAACACCCATGTTGTATATATACAGAAAGAGAGAGATGTTTATCTAAAGTCACTGACTCTATTGCAAAAAGACTTGGATGAAAAACTGGACACTTATGATGACACAGGTAGCTGGGAGGGATCAGGGAGTGTGCTGGCAGCGTGAAGATTAGTCACCAGATAAATGAAAACCTCCTCGCCTTACCTGATGAGACTCGCCACCTAAATGTGTTCATATTTATACAATATTAAAGCCCCCTTTCAAAAATGCCCATTATTTGCTGGGAAATGATACAATTCATTCTAATTCTAGCTATACTAGCATTTTATTTCTTAGGAAAACACAAACACACAGAAAAAACAATCAGGAAATATTTGCACATCAAAATGAAGCTAATTAGTTTGGATTGAAATTTAGAAATCTGGAATGACCTGAAAGCAAAATTATTCAAATCTTACAATATAGTCATTATGTCAACACCGTACTTCTGACAATAAAGATTAGAGTTTCAAAAGAACTCCTGTGACGTTTCTTATACTTTAGAATGTTTATAAAGTGCTAAGGTAGCTGCCTTTTCTTCAACAATATGCCTGCTATAAGAAAAATCACACTTCTAGAAAATGTTTTATTTCATAGCCCCTGAAATAAAATTACCAAATCACGATTTTCCTTCCCTCCCCGCACCCGCCCCTTTCTCTTTTCCAGTCCTTACGGTCATGACTGTGTCTTTCAATACAAATGGGACACACAGAATTGCCCATTTCTGACTAGGGTGTAACAGCAATGCGATCCCTGGCAGACAATCACTGATAATCTCAGACAGGAACCGTGAGTGTCCGCAAAGCCTGAGCTCGCTGAGGTTTCATTGGATCGTGGCATCACCAACGCAGTCAGGCTGAGAGCCCCGAGACCGACCGGGGAACAACTCTCCGCAGTGGGTGGTGCCAGCCGGGAAAGAACGAACTCCCACATCCCCCGCCTTCCCAGAAACCGAGCGAGGGGTTTCCTGAGACCCCCAACCCGGAACCGGAAGAGCGACCATCTTCCCTGACCCCCTCAAGCCGGAAGTGGAGCCCAGCCAGATGGCGTACTCACCCTGCACAAATAGAATGCTCAGCAGTGGAAAGAGAGCGCAGCCACGACCTCCTGCTGCTCCTCTTGGCTGCTGCATCCCGACAGCTCTTCCAACCCTTGCACACCTTGTTTACAGCTCCCGGGGACCACGCAGGTGGTGCCGGAAGTGACGTTATCGCGGGAGCCACCTTTGAAATGGCAATCCGGATTTTCCTCAGGGATCAGGCTTGTTACCAGAATCCTACCTGGTTCCCCTGATCGGCAGTTTTTTGACTCTCAAAAAGGATCCGATTGCTGTCTACCACTTCAAATTGGCTATAAACTTTGGGGAAACAATTTTATTTTTATGGATGTCTGCAGAGCCAGGCTTAATCCTCTGACTGTAATCCATAAATTCTATCCCTAATGTCTAAATTGAATCTTCACAATTGATTCTCATACATATGAAGTCCATGGAGACATAGGCGAGCATACAGGGCCCTGTGGTAAATACATGTAAGCCTCATCGTTCCTGTTCCTTTTAATGTAGCCATTACATCATCCAGAATTGGGTGCTTATTAAATTACTTCAGTGACAGTGATGAAATCACTACAGTGTATATTCCAGGTGAAGGGGAACAAGGGTATGTCTATCAATGTGCTGCAAAAGTAAGAATATTATTATCACAATACTTGATGTTCAATGAGATGGTCTGACATCCTCTGGAAAAAGATGGTACAGGACCCTGCTTGACTGATATATTCTCCCAATTCTCCTGAGGCCACTATGGTCAATAAAAGTGCAATGGGAACAAAAAGCCTGCACTTACAGAAATATTTCCCAACTGTGACACTTTCAACTGGTATACTTTACTAGGCTTGAAAGTTGAAGGTTTTCTCTATGAAGAGAATAAGAGTAGAAAAACTAGTATCATTGCTTCTGAAGTACCCAAACTAAGCCAGGCAGGGTAGCAAAAGCCTGTAGACCCAGGATCTGCAACACTATGGCAGGAGGACCAAGATTAACTGCTTCATAGTAAGACCCTGGTAAGGGTTAGGGTTAGACTCAAGAAACGAATCTTCCAAATGTATGGTATCATTTTGCCCATTTCCAAGTTCTCCAAAGCAACGTGAGAAACTTACAGAAATCATACCTACCTATTAGAAGTTAATTCCATCCATTACTGATTCTACTGTCTCTACTAAGAAAACTGGAACAAAGATAAAATATACCCCCTTGTTTGCTATTAACTGCTATGTGAACTTTGCAGATTTATATGTAAGTAAATAATGAAATTCATAATTCTTTATTACTAAGAGTTTATTTACACAATGCTTCATAATAAAAAATAAGTTACAGTACAAAAGTGCTCTTAGGAAGGAGACACTGAACAAGGCTGTGATACCTGGTGAGTGTTCAGACAAGACACAAGGTGCAAGTTTGCTGAAGAAGTTTTTAGCTACTTTCTTACATGTATGAAACATACACGGGCCATCATTTAAAGAAACATCTAGTTGTTATAGTCGCAATGGTGAATTATGAAAACAGAAGAAAATACAGATCTAACTTGTAGTTCAAAACTAGGTATCAAAAAGACGTGGTGGCACACGCCTTAAATCCCAGCACTAGGGAGGCAGAGGCAGTGGGATCTCTATGAGTTCAAGGATAGGCCAGCATGGTCTACAAAGTGAGTCCCATAACAGCTAAGGCTACAAATAGATCCTAACGAGAGAGAGCGAGAGAGAGAGAGAGAGAGAGAGAGAGAGAGAGAGAGAGAGAGAGAGAGAGAGAGAGAGAGAACACAAACAACAAAACTTTTTAAAGGCACTATAAAAAGCAGAATGAGAGTTGTGGAATGAATTTCAAGGGCAGATTCATATGCAAATTATGCCAACTTGATTTAAAGACTGAGTAAAATGTCAAGGTCCTGTGTCTAGGAATATAATCTGTTGGAAATTCCAGTTTGTTAAAAGAAATAACCTGTACAGCACAGTCTTCTGAGGACTAAAACATCACATTGTAAAAATTCACCCCGGCCAGGCGTTGGTAGCACACACCTTTAATCCCAGCACTCAGGAGGCAGAGGCAGGCAGATCTCTAAGAGTTCAAGGCTGGCCTGGTCTACAGAGGGAGTTCCAGGACAGCCTCCAAAACAATACAGAGAAACCCTGTCTCAAAAAAAAAAAAAAAAATCACCCCGGACCTAAACTTTCAGATATTCTCTGTTCTCCACACAGTGCTGCTCTGACATGTAACTAGATGCAAAGGAGACTTCATCCCTCTTCTTTCCACAGCCCACTTGAAAAATAAAGAGAAAAATAAAAGTAGTTCATTACATTTAAGTAGTTTTGGTATTTCTTTGGTCCCGCCAAATTCTCTTTAAAATAGAGTGACTAGTTGGGGGCGGGGTGGAGAGGTTGCAAGCCTTTAATCCTAGCACTCAAGAGGCAGAAGCAGACCCCGTGAATTTGAGGCCAGCCTGGTCTGCAAAGAGAGTTACAGGACAGCTAGGGCTGTTACACAGAGAAACCCTGTGTCAAAAAACAAAAAGCAAACAAAAAGAAAGCGCAGGGCGTTGATAGCACACCCCTTTAATCCCAGCACTCAGGAGGCAGAGGCAGGTGGATCTCTGTGAATTAGAGACCAGCCTGGTCTACGAGAGCTAGTTCCAGAACAGCCTCCAAAGCCACAGAGAAACCCTGTCTCGAAAACAAACAAACAAACAAAAGGAAGAAAGTTAAAATAAGGTGAATTAAAAACCAAATAAACTTTAAATAATCTCTTCCAGCTCTCGAAGTCTTTGTAAGACTGAACAAAATCATTATTTGCTCTGGGTTGGTCTTTCTCACAAGTCTAAATCTTTTTTAAAGTTGTAATACAATTATATCACAAAGTCTTCTAATAAATTGTTTAAGGACGTCAAATGGGCATGGGCTCTACTGAGGGAGGGAGACCTAGCCCTTGAGCTGAGACAGGAGGGCTCTCTGAGCTCTACATAGCTAGTACTAGACCAGCCAGTGTTACATAGCAAGAACTTGTTAGAAAAATAAAACATACAAATGGTGATGAGCAATTCTTCCTGGTAGCATTTGCTGGTATACTGGTGTTCCTGTGACCTTTGTAGTTACTATGCTTAGACTTGCACTGCCACCTATAAACATTGTATTAACTGTCAGTTAAACAAGATATGTCTATTACTTAAAGACAACCATGAAAATCAGACTTCTGGTGTGAATCTGAAGTTTGCTATTAGTCAAAAATGGCTGGGAGGTGTAGCTCACCTTTTTATGATTTAATTTCTTTTCATTCTATGTGTGAGGGTTTTGCCTGCATGTGTGTACCTGTGCCACGTGTATGCAGTGCCTGCAGACACTAGAAGAAGGTGCCCTATGCCCTAAAACTGGAGTTACTGATGGTTGTGAGCCACCATGAGGATGCTGGGAACTGAACAGGTGCTGCTAAAGGTTGAGTCACCTCTCCAGAGCCCTGTGCTGCTCTGAAGAAATTAAAATGTGAGAAGAAGTGTCCTGGCAGGCAGGCTGGCTGGCATTTCTGCCCTTTGATGCCAATACACACAGGAGTACAGCAGCCATACCCCATAAGGCGCGTGGAAGAACAAAAAAGGAGCATCCCAGCTTGCAAAGGCTAATACACATTTGCACTCTGGAATCAGGTAAAACCCCCGTGAAAAAGGCGTCTGCCCAGGAAGAGCCCTAAGCTGTTCCGCACTCTGCAGGGGCATCGCTCATCTAGGCAGGTTTGTGCAGCAGAACTTGCGGGATGACAGGTCATCACTGGAAAAGTTCCCACTGACTTCAGGGGGTACTAATGTTGTCCTTGAAAATCCTCGGCTTCCTGGAATACAAAAGTTTAAAAGGATAATGTTCCTGAAAAGAGTGTAAGAGCAATACCCAGCAGTGCCCATCACATACCCACGGCATCCATAATCCACTCCCAATGGAAAATATTCTTAAACTTCCTCTCCTGCTAATTCAATTTTTAATTTAAAAGAGCTTGCTTCCTGCTCTTTATAGCAGGTTCTCATATCCAGAGTCTTTTTTGTATGCTGCACTTTGTTTTCTTGAGAAAGGATCTGACTATGGAGCTCTAGATGACTTGGCACTCATGGTTGTAACCAGGTGTGGCCTAGGACTCACAACAGTCCTCCTGCCTCAGCCTCCCAAGTACTAAAATTATAGGCACGTACCACCACACCGGCAGTGTCTCTTCTAAGGTACCTTTCATGGACACCAGGGTAATCTACAGACCACTCACATGCTTGTGTCCCATGCCCCTCCCCCATCAATTAAATCAACACACAGAAAAGTAGAGAAGTCAGTGTGTAGAATTCACACATTGCCTACTTTGAAAATTTTTCCTTTCTTTTTGGCATTATTTATTGTTTTGTTTTATGGCTGACATTTTTTTAAATTATAGACTTACCTCTACATATTGTAACATCCATTTTAAAAACCTGATTTCCTTTGTAACCACAATATCATCATAAATATCATTATACACCTAATAACTCCCTACTATCAACAATCATGTTCATATTCAAAATCTTAATTACAGTCTCCATTTTTGTTCCAGACAGGGTCTCACTGTATATCCCTGGCTGCTCTGGAATTCACTATGTAGACCAGGCTGTCCTTGAACTCACAGAGATCTTCGTGTCTCTTCCTCTTGAGTGCTGGAATTAAAATGGAGTACTACCACCATGCCAAATTCAACCTCATCACTTTTGTAATTTGCTTAAGCTTGTATCTTCTGTCAGAGACCACAGGTTATACTTGATGACATTAGTTTGTTACATTTCCTTTAATCTTCATTCAGATTCAGTTATTGTATTTTATGAGTGTTTTATCTGCATATTTGTATGTGCACCATGTGTGTGCTGTGCCCAGAGAGCTCAAAAGAGGATGTTGGGTCCCCTGAAACAAATTATGGAGGGTTGTGAACCACCAAGTGGGTGCCAAGAACTGAACTCAGGACCTCTGCAACAGCAGGAAGTGTTCTTAACCACGGAGCCATCTCTCTGATAAAACAAAACCAAACACAAGGTAGATGGCACCGAGGTTGTCATCTGATCCCCACATGCACACACACAGAAATGATTTATTCACGGGTTAGAAGCTCATTATTAGTGGTGGTTAATATAACCTCCAAACCTCAAAAAGTAGAATCCTCTCAGCTTTAAAGGAAGTAGTATGGCTTCTTAATCATATGTACAAGTATCCTGGAAGGGGAAGTCATCTCCAAAGATAATAAGAGACGAATCTGCCTGCCTCTGCTTCTGAATAGGATGTCATCAGCCATGTAGAGTGGCCAGAGAGATCCGTCTGTGTGGGAGATATGCTAAACAGCCCGACAAGCTGAAGACAAAAGTCACCCATGTGGACCTTACCTCGCAGTGTTAGTCTGCATCTTCCAAATAAACAGAGACCTTGTTCTCTTGTTTGAGTTTTTCCTCTTCTTTTCTGTAACAAAGGAACAGAAACCAATGTCAGATGAGCAAGGCAAGAAGCGAAGATGGCAGATCCCACAGCAGCACCAGGTGAGGTACCCGGCCCGGGCCCCATGCTTTAGGAAAAGGTACAGACACCTGGAAGTCCATTCAAGCCACAGAGAGCTAAACAGCCAATGCTGTGTAAGCAATAATACCGATGCCCCCAGGTGTCTTAGGAGTCTGAACTTAGACACATTCCAGAAGATCTAATATATACAACAGAAGTTTAAAGTGCACACCTGTACTTCACCATAATATCTTACTTCTAATGGCTACACTCCTCTGCGAAAAGGGGAGTATAATTAACCTAGAAACCCTCTTCATTGATTATATTCTCTTTAAACCTGAATGCCATTGATGGATTCCTTAGATGTTTCCCAATCAATTACACATATTTCAGTAAATATTTACTAAGTAAATGTTTCTGGGGTGCTTATAAATCCATATGCAAAAGAATGAATTGAGACTTTTTTTTTTTTTTTTTTGGTTTTTCGAGACAGGGTTTCTCTGTGGCTTTGGAGGCTGTCCTGGAACTCACTTTGTAGACCAGACTGGCCTCGAACTCACAGAGATCCGCCTGCCTCTGCCTCCCAAGTGCTGGGATTAAAGGCGTGCACCACCAACGCCCGGCTGAGACTCTTAATTATATATAAAATTTAACTAAAAGCTACGTCAGAGATATAAATTTAAGAATGTAATTTAAAATGTAAAATTGTCGGAAGAGATGGACTTCATCAAAACTAAAAGTTTTTGTGTCGTAATGGATAATATTCAAGAAGCAAAGAGAACTCAGGAATGGGAGCAGTTGCAGGTAATGTAACTGAAAGGGGACAGGCACCCTTACAGCTTAACAATAAGAAGACATCCATCGCCGGGCTTTGGTGGCACATGCCTTTAATCCCAGTTCGAGGCCAGCCTGGTCTACAGAGTAAGTTCCAGGACAGCCTCCAAAACAATACAAAGAAACCCTGTCTCAAAAAAACAAAAAAATAAAAAGAAGAAGAAGACATCCATCTCAGTTAGAGGGTGGGCAGGCTACATGAATACATACATTTCCAGAGGCTCTATAAATGGCCACTGAACACATGGGAGGAGGATGAAGTCCGTCAGTCATTGCTAAAGCTACAAATCAAAATCACTTGAGATAACACCTGGCATCCACTAGAGGGCAAAAATCAAAAGTGAGTGAATGCTGGCGAAATTCTAATGCCTATACACTCCTGTTAGGAGTGTATTGGCTGTTATGGGAAAACAGTTTGTCAATTTCTCCAAAAAGTCAATAGTTGCCAATGACCTGGCAATTGTCCCTTCACTATTGGGAGAATTGAAAGTACGTGTACACAAAAATTTGTGTAACGTATGTTCATAGTGATTGACACTATTTATAATTGCCAAAAGCAGAAAAAAATACAGTGTATGTTCATCAACTGAATAGACAATATATGGTGTGTCCATTACAGTAGAGTATCACACAGCCATAAAAATAAAAAAAGAATGAAGATAGGGAGAGAGTCGAGTGTGCAAACTGTTTGCTGTTTAATGATCTAAGTTCAGATCTCCAGGTACCATGTAAAAAGCCTCAGGTATGGCAGTGAATTCCTTTAGTCCTAGTGCTGGGAGGTGGAGACAGAAGGATCCCAGAGGCTTGCTAGACACTCAGTCTAGCCAATCAGTGAGCACCAAGCTCAGTGAGAGACCATGTCTCAAAGAACAAAGTAGAGAACAATAGAGGAAGACACCAATGTGGACCTCTGGCCTCCACATGGGCACACATGCACATACAGCACACAGGCATGCACGCACATACAGCACACAGGCACGCACACACATACAGCACACAGGCACATACAGCACACAGGCACGCACGCACATACAGCACACAGGCACATACAGCACACAGGCACACACACACATACAGCACACAGGCACACAGGCACATACAGCACACAGGCACACACACACATACAGCACACAGGCACGCACGCACATACAGCACACAGGCACACACACACATACAGCACACAGGCACATACAGCACACAGGCACACAGGCACATACAGCACACAGGCACACAGGCACATACAGCACACAGGCACGCACGCACATACAGCACACAGGCACGCACGCACATACAGCACACAGGCACGCACGCACATACAGCACACAGGCACGCACGCACATACAGCACACAGGCACGCACGCACATACAGCACACAGGCATGCACGCTCATACAGCACACAGGCACATACAGCACACAGGCACGCACGCACATACAGCACACAGGCACACAGGCACATACAGCACACAGGCACGCACGCACATACAGCACACAGGCACATACAGCACACAGGCACGCACGCACATACAGCACACAGGCACGCACGCACATACAGCACACAGGCACATACAGCACACAGGCACACAGGCACATACAGCACACAGGCACACACACACATACAGCACACAGGCACACACACACATACAGCACACAGGCACACACACACATACAGCACACAGGCACATACAGCACACAGGCACGCACGCACATACAGCACACAGGCACACACGCACATACAGCACACAGGCACATACAGCACACAGGCACACACGCACATACAGCACACAGGCACACACGCACATACAGCACACAGGCACACACGCACATACAGCACACAAGCACACACACACATACAGCACACAGGCACGCACGCACATACAGCACACAGGCACGCACGCACATACAGCACACAGGCACGCACGCACATACAGCACACAGGCACACACGCACATACAGCACACAGGCACACACGCACATACAGCACACACGCACATACAGCACACAGGCACACACGCACATACAGCACACAGGCACACACGCACATACAGCACACAGGCACACACGCACATACAGCACACAGGCACATACAGCACACAGGCACCTGCACTGCACATACAGCACACAGGCACACACGCACATACAGCACACAGGCACACACGCACATACAGCACACAAGCACACACACACATACAGCACACAGGCACGCACGCACATACAGCACACAGGCACGCACGCACATACAGCACACAGGCACGCACGCACATACAGCACACAGGCACACACGCACATACAGCACACAGGCACACACGCACATACAGCACACACGCACATACAGCACACAGGCACACACGCACATACAGCACACAGGCACACACGCACATACAGCACACAGGCACACACGCACATACAGCACACAGGCACACACGCACATACAGCACACAGGCACACAGGCACATACAGCACACAGGCACACAGGCACATACAGCACACAGGCACACACGCACATACAGCACACAGGCACGCACGCACATACAGCACACAGGCACACACGCACATACAGCACACACGCACATACAGCACACAGGCACACACGCACATACAGCACACAGGCACACACGCACATACAGCACACACGCACATACAGCACATAGGCACACACGCACATACAGCACACAGGCACGCACGCACATACAGCACATAGGCACACACGCACATACAGCACACACGCACATACAGGACACAGGCACGCACGCACATACAGCACACAGGCACACAGGCACATACAGCACACAGGCACACAGGCACATACAGCACACAGGCACACAGGCACATACAGCACACAGGCACACACACACATACAGCACACAGGCACACACGCACATACAGCACACAGGCACACACGCACATACAGCACACAGGCACACACGCACATACAGCACACACGCACATACAGCACACAGGCACACACGCACATACAGCACACAGGCACGCACGCACATACAGCACACAGGCACGCACGCACATACAGCACATAGGCACGCACGCACATACAGCACACACGCACATACAGCACACAGGCACGCACGCACATACAGCACACAGGCACGCACGCACATACAGCACATAGGCACACACGCACATACAGCACACACGAACATACAGCACACAGGCACACACGCACATACAGCACACAGGCACACAGGCACATACAGCACACACACCAAAGTATGAAATAGTAAATATTTTACAACATTGACAATGTCTAGAAACATACTGAATGAGAAAAGCTGGATACGAAAGGTCAGGTATTTTACAGTTCTACTTACATTAAACGTTCAGGATAGACACACCCCCATAGACAGACAACAGGTGGGTAACTGTGAGCTGGTCGGAGGGGATGATGACAAGATGATGGGGAGTTTCTAGAATTGGTGATTACTACACAACTCTGTGCATTTAATTGGTGATTACTACACAACTCTGTGCATTTAATTGGTGATTACTACACAACTCTGTGTATTTAATTGGTTATTGCTGCACAACTTTGTATATTTAAAAGGGTGCATTTTCTTTCAAAGGTTTGTCTATTTTTATTTTATTTGAATGTTTTGCCTGTGAATATGTAAGTGCAGAACCCACAGAAGTCAAAAGAGGGTGTCAGATCCCCTGAATCTGGAGTTACAGGCAGTTGTGAACCATCATAAGGATGCTGTAAACCAAACTCAGGTCCTCCACAAGAGCAGGCAGCGTTCTTACCTGCTAAGCCATCTTGTTGTCCCAAATGGGTAGATTTTATAGCTTATAAATTTTATCTCAGTTTTAAAATGTTTACTGAGCACTTACTGTCAGCACAGCAAACTTTCCCAGCCACTGATTCAGTGACTGCTGGGTGCCTCGCCCTGTAGCTCTCACCAGTGTGCCTCCCTTCACAGAGGATTCTTCTTAAAGCTTCATGTGCACTTTTTATGCCCAAAATCTCACGTAATAATGAAATTCTTTGGTGAGATCTTGTGTAAAATTATGAAGCCTTTTGGATTTTGTTATCGTTGTCTAAAGATTTATTTTGTAGCCGGGCGTTGGTGGCGCATGCCTTTAATCCCAGCACTCTGGAGGCAGAGGCAGGCAGATCTCTGTAAGTTCAAGGCCAGCCTGGTCTACAGAGCAAGCTCCAGACAAGCTCCAAAACAATACAGAGAAACCCTGTCTTGAAAAACCGAAAGAAAAAAAAAGATTTATTTTGTTTTTAAGTTTGTGTATGTGTCTATCTGGATGCAGGTTTGTGAACATGAGTGCAGATGCCACAGAAGCCAGAGGTATCAAATCCCTCTGGAGCCGGAGTCACAAACTGCTGTGAGTCACCAGATATGAGTGCTGGGAACTGAACTCAGGTCCTCTGCAACAGCAGTCTATGCTTTTAACCACTGAGTTTTTTGGGGGGGGGGTTCTTTTTTCTTTTCTTTTCTTTTTTCTTTTCTTTCTTTTTTTTTTTTTTTTGTTTTGTTTTGTTTTGTTTTGTTTTTCGAGGCAGGGTTTCTCTGTATTGTTTTGAAGCCTACCCTGGAACTCGCTCTGTAGACCAGGCTGGCCTTGAACTCACAGAGATCCGACATCCGACTGCCTCTGCCTCCCGAGTGCTGGGATTAAAGGCGTGAGCCACCAATGCCTGACTAAGAGGCCTTTTTTAAAGTTACTACCGATGTCCTAATTTATCTGTCCTGTGAAATGGAGCCTCTCACACATTTGGTCAAAAATAAAAACAACTGTTCAACTGTTCCTTGGTCCCACTGAAAAGTCCCAAGAGCCACCCCAGGAGGATGAGCAGGCATTCCCACCAGTGCTCACTCAGCCTTACGATTTTATCCCCTCGTCGTCATGAGCCCTTTTCGCCCATCGCTTTTTCCGGAAGTGCTGGAAGAGGACCACGGCGATTACTGTTATGATCATTACTGCACACGCAGAGCCGATGGCCACAGCCAGGAAGAAGATCTCAGAGAAGGGCACTGTGAGCAGAAAAAGACAAGGCAGAGCAGGGAGTTAGGTGAAATGACAATGTGTCTCGTTATTAACCAGCATCTTCCTTTCTCCCACTTTTACGATTAAAACAGCACATCATGCTGTAGCCATGCAGCAGTGGGAAACCTACACACACTACATCAGCGCTTCTATAGTGTGACTCTAGAAGCAGTGACATCACCACTGGAGACCTTTGAAGTGCAATTCTCAGGCCCTACCCCAAACATGCTGGACTAGAAACACTGGAGGGTATATCCAGCCATCCAGTCTGCGTTTGGACATGTCTTCCAGGTGATGGTGACGACAGCCAAACACTGAGAACCACTGAGTCAGTTAAACTGCCGGTAATTCAAGTTACTGCTACCCTGGTCAGAACTCTGTCCAACTTAGTCCTGCCAAACTACTCACCCCTTCATCCAGTCAGGCTCTTAAGAGCCTACTGTGTCGTTATGATAGAAACGAAATGCCACAAGCATTATGCCCAAGGTGCTCTGTGTGTGTGTGTGTGTGTGTGTGTGTGTGTCTGTCCCAGGAAGACAGGCACGTAAAACAATAAGCCCTAAGAGCCAGAAAGGACATCAAGAGAATATCTGTGCCAGGAGTTTCCAGCCTAGAATCCATCAGGAAGGAGGAGGAAGTTCCAGGGGATCCAGTGCCTTCTTCTGGCCTCTGCAGGCACCAGGACCACAAGTGATGCACAGATACACGTGCAGGCAAAACACCAATACACATGTAACAGAGAGTGGGGAGTCTCCTTAAGTGTATATCCATTTCTTAAAGTAGGGAAGCAGAGCCACAGCTTTCTGTAGGCTCTCAAATAAAGAGTGATTCTGATATGTTGAGCAGCTGCTGGTCTTTGTGTTGTTTTTGTTGTTTGCTTTCTGCTGTTTTTGTTTGTGGTTTTGGATTTTTTTATTTTAACCTAACCTATCAGAAAAACAAAAACAAAAACAACTGAGGTCTGAAGATATTACATTACTGAGTACTTTCAGTACTCAGATGATGCATGTATACCACACGGCTGTCTCTGTATGGAGCCCAAAGAGATGGCTTTAAACTGATCTAGGTAATAGTGACAGGAGACAACCATACCACTTAACACACTAAGATGTTTTAAACAATGTTGTGTGTTAGCTAAGAACACAAGTTTCCTTAACTCTTAAGAAGCTGAGGCAGGAGGATCTCAGGTTTGAGTGAGCCTGAGCTATACTGAGATCTTTTCTCAGATGGCAAAACTCCCCCACCACCACACACACAGGAGCTCTGCCTAATTAACTGATTAACTGTATGACCTGGGTTAGTTAGTTACCTTTATTGAACCTCAGTTTTCTCCTATGTTAAGACACAACAATATTCATTTCTTGAGTGCTTATAAAAAATAAGACAATTCCTATAAATTGTGCCTGCCCATAATAAATGCTGAGTACATGTAGCTATTATAATTTTCAGTACAGTTCAGAGTTTGGAAGACTTTCACGAATTTATTGCATCATTTTGCCCTCACCAAAATCTTTGTTATATTATTCTTACCATACTCATGACAAAAGTAAAATTTATGTATAATTGACACACAAGTAGGCAGGTTTCAACCCCTGTTCTCCAACTCAGAAATGTGGTCCATGTTCTTTGTCATCTGGCATCATTTTTCAGGTGGACCTTGTAGTGCAGGCAACTCAATAAACAGTTAGAGGACAGTTTGAAAGTCTGGGACGGTTGAGTTTGAGTCTGAAGTGACCTCATTTACTAGCTATATGGATTTGGGCAAGTGACTTACACTTGGTGAGTCTCCGTTTCCTTGTTAGTAAAATGGGAGACACTAGATATACAACAAACTCATGAGCTGTGTAAATAAATGAGTCTGGAGAGATGACTCAGCAGTTAAGGGCACTGGCTGCTTTTTCAGAGGACCTGGGTCCAATTCCCAGCACTCACACAACGGCTCACAACCATCTGTAACTCCAGTTCCAGGGGATCTGACACCCTCTCTGGCCTCCATGGGCACCAGGCACTTAAGTGGCACACAGACGTATATGCAAGCAAACCACCCATGCCCATAAAGTAATAATTTTTAAACTGTTTTAAAAGAATAAATAAAATGTAGCGTGTAAAGCTCCTGAGAGGGGGAGCACTGAGTAAACACTGAGACCATTCCTGATAGTGTGTCAGGATTAAATGAGATAGTGTGCGCCAAGCACTTTGGAGTGTGCCTGGCACACCAGGTGCTCATTGAGCATCCGAATAAGTGAGAACGAACTGACCTATTGAGAGTCTTTTTATCAGAGCTGCTTCCTGTCCCTTTCACCATCTCAAGGCCATTCTTGTCACAGATTCCTCAGATCTCTTTGCATTACTTTGTTTCTTTCCAGGACCAAACAAAGCCTTTATTTTTTCACCCCAGGACTCTTCAGTCTCTGAAGTTCCCAGCCCTGAAACCCAGGCCCTCCTCCCTTCCAACATCACAAAAGACAGCACTTTTTCTTTTTTGGTTCAGCTCTCACTTCCCAAAACCTACCAGTGTGCACCACGCTGAGCCGGATCGACCCTACCAGACCATCGACGTCAGGGGGGTTCTTCACCTGGCAGGTGTATGTCCCATTGTCATCGAACTGCAGCTTCCAGAGGATGATGGAGACATCGTACCGCTCAGGGTTCCCATCCCAGACCACCCGGTCCTTGAACCGTCCGCTCATGGGTCTGAAGGGCTCCCTGTGGTAGTAGAACACCTACAGAGGAGAGAGGATGAAATCCCCCACTCTGTATGGGGCTGAGATGGTAGGGGTGGGTGAGAAGCCTCGTCAGTCTGAGCAACAGTCCAGCTAGCTCCTCAGAACACTCCCTTGCTTCCCTTTCTTAACTATCGCTCTCTGTCCCAAGAACTGGTTCCCAAGTTAACCCTGGGCATGCGGCTAACACAGGAAAGGCAAGAGTGAAAAAAAAAAAGGATTGTCTTAATACAGTGGTTCTCAGCCTTCCTAATTTACAGTTCCTCATGTAGAGGTGACTCCCAACCATGCTGCTTCATAACTGTAATTTTGGTACTATTATGAACAACAATGTAAATATCTATGTTTTCCAATGGTCTTAGCTGACCCCTGTGAAAGGGTCATTTGACCCCTGAGAATCACTGCCCGAATACATCCTAGTCAAGGGTCTGCTGGAAGGTGACAAGAATCTACTTACAAACTGCTCATGGCCCCCATCTCGAGGACGGAAATTCCATGTCACTGTCAGGGCATCACCCACAGGGGCAAAGCTGGAGAAAGTGCATTTTAACCGAACATCTGTCCCGTTGACTGCCTCCAGGGCCCCGGAGGTGTAAATTTCCACCGCTGCTGTAGGACAAAGGGCTGCAAGGGAAGGAAAGGGGTTAACAAGGGTATAAAGTTGAGGGGGGAAAAAAAAAACTCTGACACTTTCCAAACAAGCCAATCTCCAAACTCACTTCGCCTGGAGTCTGAATACACTCCTACCTATATACAACTTGACCCTCCCATCCGGAGGGCCAATTAAAAGTACTGCCCAGCAAACTACCTTGTGCTCTCGCTTTCTTCACAGTCTCGTGGTACCAACTTCAGAACTACAGTCACAGACTACAAACATCAGTCAGTAAGATGTAAAGTAGAAACAAAACTTCAAACGTTGAACAAACATGAAGTACTAAGATCAAGCAATAAAGTATGTGTTTAAAAAAAAAGTCTTGCCGGACGTTGGTGGCGCATGCCTTTAATCCCAGCACTCGGGAGGCAGAGGCAGGTCTCTGTGAGTTTGAGATCAGCCTGGTCTACAGAGGGAGTTCCAGTATAGCCTTCAAAGCCACAGAGAGACCCTGTCTCGAAAAACAAAAACCAAACAAACAAAAATGTGTCCAAGTGGGTACATTTTCCAGCACGTAGACTTAGGACTGCTACTAACCTGAAGGTTAATCCACCCCAGCTGCTGCGCTTGCCTGCACCCCTGGAACCTTATACCACGTGGTGTATTTACAAGTTCTGTGTGTGCATTGGGGCGGCTTCAAAACCACAGCGGGGCTCTCGCTCTGATAATCTAGGTTTTGCTCGGTGGTGCTGCAGGGAGTCGCAGACAAAATCCTCCCACAGAAATCCAAGGGCCAGATCTAGGCAGCAGCCCGAGGCTGAACGCAGCCACACAAAGATGGTATGTAACCTGAGATCAGAAAGCCCTGTCTGTGCCTGAATCACGAGCGGCCAAACACACCTAAACCTGTTTGCCCAAAGCACTGCCCAAAGGAACCCACCGAACTCAAGTTTCGGTGAAGTCTGGACTAGAACGAAATGCAGCCGGGTCTCGAGCTCCCAACAGAGCCCTTGAGACTTTTTCAAGCCATGAGCTCGGTCTTTCCATAGAGAGGGCGGTGAAGGTAAAGACTTCTACAAGTCCACCAGTTCTTACCTGTGAGCTGTAAGCCCAGGAGAAGTGGAAGCACACGCGCAGGGCTCTTACCATACATCAGGGAAAGCCAGCCGTGGCCCCAAAGGCCAGACCCGGCAGACCCAGGGCTCCAGCACCCTGCCAAGACCAAGGCCAGGACGAGCAGGCACCGCAGTTTTCCCCCAGAGAGGTCTGAGTCCCTCACCTAAGGGAAGGTGCACAGCCGAGCCAGCCAGTGACTCATCCCGCCCAGCCGGTGCAGCGCTGGAATGAAAGGTGGGGCCTCTGCCCCCAGCGCCCTCCCCCTTGTCCTCCCTCCCGCTCTCCTCCACACTCCAGCCCTCTGCGCAAAGGTCTCAAGCTCTGCGGTCCTCTCTTTGCTTTTCCGTTCATCTGACCAAGGCCTGGCCTCCGGGTGGCCTCAGAAGCAGCCAGAAGAGGTGGTGCCAGTTTGAAACGTCCCAGGCTGCTCTGGGCTTGGCCACACACACCCTTTTAAAATAGGCTATAGTCTTGCCTAGGAAGTGATCGGTGCAGTGATTCCCGCCCTCGGGGCCACATAACCTAGGGCCTGGCTCAGTGCAACTCCCAGAAATAACAGGAGTTCCTTAGGCCCCTCTGGAAACCCAGTCCCACCCACGATGCAGGCAGTCCTTCCTGAGACTCGGCAGAAGGAAACCAAAGCAATCTCAAAGCTGGATCCTTTCCCAGGTCAGGACAGCTCCCCTCCTCTTCCCCTGGCCCCCAACCCCAGCACAGTTTGCAAAGTGCGTTCCAGCTATCTTTTCATCTCCACAACCCTTTAGGAAGGGGTACCATTTTAATCGTGAAGAGAGCAGCAGCCCAGGAGGTAAGCAATTGCTGGGAATCTTTTTGAGTTTTATTTTTACAGTTTGAGACAGTCTCATGATGTAGCCCAGGCTGGGCTTTGAACATGCGATGCTATTACCCAGCTCTGGCAATACTCGGGACTAAACCCATGACTTTGCCCTTACTAGGCAAGCGCTCTGGCACTGAACTACACCCACAGCCCTATGGGAATCTTTCTGGATTGCATGTGTTCTCTGCCCACAAAACAAAGGCCGATATGGGTGAACAGACAGTGAACGCTCAAGGAATTAGTCATTCAGAAGGAAGACCTTTCTTGTACCCCAGGTTTCCACTGCCATTTTTAGGTCAGCCACCTATCTGAGAAGCCTAAAGTGTTGAGAGACAAAGGGCTTCATCGGAGAAGAGTCACAGATTAACGACATAGCAGCAAGCTGACCAAAACAAGAGACCAAAGACAGCAGTTAAAAAGTGGGTGTAGTCAGCTCTGTCAGAATTGACGCCGCCAAGTCAACAAGCCGGGCCACCTGAGTCCTCTCTCTGGAACCCACATGGTGGAAGGAGAGAATCAAAACCTGAAAGTTGTCCTCCGACCTCCACCGCTATGCTATGGTACACGTGAGCGCTCGTGCGCGCGCACGCGGACACACACACACACACACACAGAGAGAGACAGAGAGACAGAGAGAGACAGAGACAGAGAGACAGAGAGACAGAGAGAGAGAGAGACTAGTTAAAATGTAATTACAAAATTTTAAAGTAAGCCAGATGGGGGTTGGTACCCTGAACACAACCGAGTTGCCCTTATCCCTGGATTAGCTATCTAGAAACTTTTTAGTGACTCATGGTCCTCTGGCTAAGCCTTGGAACAAGGAGTGCTACAAAAGGAAGCAAGGGCCAAGTTGAGTAGAAAAATAAAGAAACACTGAGCTAGGGATACGCGCAGCTTGAAGACAAAGCTCGTGCACGAGACCTATGGAGTGGGAGATAAATAAAAGAGATGAAATTCCACGCAAAGAGAGATAAGTTATAGAAATGAAGAAAAAGGGAACGCACAGGGGAGAGGTGGAACAAAAATGGGTAGACACACACCCAGACTTACTCATTAAGCTGGGGAGCCCAGGGGCTGCCCCAAAGGGAGGTCAGCTGCAGTAACCAACGTGTTACTGCAGTGAGTGTTTCTGGAAGTGTCTGGCTCCTTCACCAGCCTCTAGGTCATTCTGAGCAGCCCAAACTGAAAACTCTGGGATGATTTGTGGCATTTACATGGTGGTAAAACGCAGCCTTTCTTGTATGTAGGTCAGAAGAAGTCAGCTCCAGGAACGTGGTGTAGAAAAAAGTTAAAGGAAACAATTTTGGTCGGCTTTCAGCTTTGTTGAGAAACGCAGTTCCAAAAGGAGAGAGAGGCAGGGGGAGGTTAAGTTGATAGCAGATTGCAAAATTCAGTGAGAGGTGGAGTTAGCTGAAGGACACTGAACACAGCAGGTGAGGAATCAGAGCAGGGCCACTGAACAGAATAGAAAGCCTGTTGTCCCAGCAGAGGAAACCCTCCCCGGTCACCAGATGCCCTGAGAGCTGGCAGTCAGCCCTGCTCCGAGGGGCACAGCTGCCCGGATCCCATTCCTCAGTTCAGGTCAAGTTTTTGGCATTGTGCTTGGCAACGCCCAGTTCCTTCCAGTCAACAGGAGAGGCTCCAAGTCACTCACTGTTCCCCACCCTGGGTGAGGAAGGAGGTCAAGAGCTGAACCTGTTATGAGAAAATGACAGATAGAAAGACCATTGCCTCTCGGTATTCCAAAGATGCCAGCGTGTGGGGCTTCCATCAAAAGCAGAGGCATCGGTGAACATCCTGAAGAATAGTTTATGTCTTGGCAGAGAAAGAGAGAGAGAGAGAGGCTGGAGAGATGGCTCAGTGATTAAGAGCACTGTTTGCTCTTCCAAAGGTCCTGAGTTCAAATTCCAGCAACCACATGGTGGCTCACAACCATCTATAATGAAATCTGGTTCCCTCTTCTGGCATGCAGACATACAGGCAAGCAAAATACTGTGTATGTAATAAATAATTTTTAAAGAAAGAAGGAAATGTTCAAAGACCCTACTTTTCCCTTAAACTTTTCCAGAGAAGAGCCTTGATTGGCATTAAAATGTGTGCCATAACCTCAGTTTTAAAGACACCATCTGTCCCAACTGTCTACACAGGCAGGAAACTCACTGGAAGCTCAGAAGACATAAAGACACTGCCTGCACCAATTACTTGTAAAACATATTCCCGAGCATTTCCACGGGGGGGCACAAACAAAAACACCTGCTATTTTCAACATTACATGAAGTCAGCATTCTGTGAAGCAAGGAAAAACATATAATTTAGCTTCTAGGGTTGTTCAAGCAAAGCATTTGTTTACTCAAAAGTTTCTGTCAGGGTCCTACTAAGGGGAAAAAAAATTGTATCAAATGCTTCCAATGGGCTAAGGATGCATGCAGTTCAGATGGTAGAGAGCTTGCCTAGCATGCAGGAGGCCCTGGGTTCCATTCTCAGCACTGCATGCAACTGCATGAAACTGGGCATGACCCAACACACCTGAACTCCTAGCTCTCAGGAGGTGGGGGCAGGAGGAGCAGGTCAAAGTCAGCCTCAGCTGTATGTGTGGGGCTGAGCGTTTGAAGAGAGCCTAGACTGTGTGAGATCCTGAGATCCTGTCTATACTGGAGAGGAAGGGTTGAAGAGAGCCTAGACTGTGTGAGATCGTGTTTATACACAGAGAGGAAGGGTTGAAGAGAGCCTAGACTGGGTGAGATCGTGTTTATACACAGAGAGGAAGGGCAAAGGAAGGGGGAAGGAAGAGGGGGTGTTCAAACACTTCTCATATGCTAATCTAAACATGCAAAGTAGAATAAGGCATTTGGGTCTGGTACCAGCTAAAGAGTATTCGGAAGCATGTCTGGGTGATCAATTACATTTGTGACTTTTGAATTTGGTCCTTAAAAAATAGGTAGAAATCTGGAAAGAAAGAAAAAGAAAGAAAGAATCAGGGTTTTCCTGTTGCAACAGATGGACAGGATGCGCACCTCTTCGTTGTATCCTTTGTAACATCCCTCACACTAAACTAGTAGGGTGTGTGTGTGTGCGCGCGCGCGAGCGTGTATGTACGTTAGTAGGGTGTGTGTGAGAGAGAGAGAGAGACAGAGAGAGAGAGAGAGAGAGAGAGAGAGAGAGAGAGAGAGAGAGAGAGAGAGAGAGAGAAGAAACATTTCTCTAGGGTGGAATTACTTTGCTATTTCTCAGAACAATTAAAAATAAAAATACGGAGCCGGGCGTTGGTGGCGCACGCCTTTAATCCCAGCACTCGGGAGGCAGAGGCAGGCGGATCTCGGTGAGTTCGAGACCAGCCTGGTCTACAGAGAGAGTTCCAGGACAGCCTCCAAAACAATACAGAGAAACCCTGTCTCGAAAAAACAAAAAAATAAAAATACAGGGCCTGGAGAGATGGCTCAGTGGTTAGAAGAGCTTGCTGCTTATATAGAGGACTGGAGTTCTGTTCCTCACAGCCCCATCAAGTAGTTCACAAGCACCTGGGACTCCAGCTGCAGGAAGCCAACAACTTCTGAATTCTGGCTTCCGCAGGCACTACACTCACATGCACAAAACCACACACAGACATGCGTAGATATGGATATCATAGTTTTAAAAGAAAAATTAAAAATCTTTTTTTAAAAAATGTTCACTAATGTCCCAAATCAGAAACACCCCAGAGAACTGTCAACTCAAGATGGATGAGTATGTTATCAAATATTCCTACAATAAATGCTATTCAGCAATAAAAATGGTCCAACTGATGATACTACAACCATTTGGATGAATCTCAAAGATATGCTGAGCAAAATTAGCATGATACATAGCAATGTATAATTCTTTAATTCCATTTATATGAGGATATAGAATAGTTCTAGAATCTTTAGTGAAATCCAGAGTTGGAGATAAGAGGCCTGTAATTCCAACACATGGAAAACAGAGGCAAGAGGATCACAAGTTGGTGGCCTGCTTGGACTATAGAGAGTTCAAAGCCAATCTGGGCACATAGCAAGTTCAAGGCTAGACCAGAAGAAGAAAAAGAAAAGAATGCTTTTGGTGGGGAAAATGGTGTACTAAATGTTGGTTCTTGGAGGAGATGGAGGTAAGGATTGACTGGAGAGGCACGGAGGCCTGAGAACTTTCTGGGGTAATATTAGTCCTCTACATTTTGATAATCATTTTTTAATCACTTTTAGAGAACATCTGAGGAGAGCCAGGAAGATGATTAGCCAGTAAAAGCTCTTGCCACACAAGCCTGGCCACCTAAGTCCGAGCTCCAGAACCCATGTAAGAAGCAGGATGCCATGGTGCAAGTCTGTAATCCCGGCAAGCCTGTGGTGAGGTCGAAGGCAAAGACAGGGTCAGAAGCTCCAAGCTAATCTAGGGATGAGCTATACAGTGCAGAAAGAGAGAC